ACCCCAGGACGAAGCCAAGGAAGGACGGAGACGCAAGAGCAAGGAAGAGCAAGGACGCAAGGGTACCCTGAGCAAAGTCGCGCGTCCTCATTACCCTTTTTTTACTGTAGTCACAAATAGTCAATATCCCAGTGCGACCCTACCTAGGAGTTGGAGCCTCTAGGAAAGCATTATTAGTAGGAGCGGTAAACGCCGTCCTCCTCCTCTCCTCACACACACACGCGCACACGCACACACATGCAGCATTCCACATGGGTGTTATGTATATATATTTATATACACACGCATATTTGCATATATAGAAAACCATTTAGGACATGCGATGCTACGTCGGGTTTAATGTCTCTCGGCCGGTGCTATGTGCGAAACCTTTGTGAATCCTAAGGGCTCAAGCTGCCCCACTAAGGGCTCAAGATGGCCCACAGGCGGACAACATGCATGGAACATACGTGCGCACACACACACATATATATATATACGCATATACATATGCACATATATATATATAGGTAAGTACATATATCTATTGCAGCAGCAATAGTGGATGATGTGCTGCGCTATGCTATGCTATGCTCTGCTCTGCTATGCTATGCTATGCTATGATATGCTATGTTGCGCAATGTTATGCTGGGCTAGGCTAGGCTAGGCTATGCTATGCCATGCTGCGCTATGCTATGCTGCGCCATGCTATGCTATGCTATGCTATGTGTTTGCTTTGCCTTCGCTTTTGCCTTAACTTTTGCCTTTGCTGTTGCTCTTGCTGTGCACCCAGGGAACGCAACTGGGGGAACCGCTCCCAGGGGACCGGGGGAACCGCCCGGGGCGGTTTACACTGCCCACCCCTTTAAGCCAGAAAGTAAGAACCCTTCTAGGCAGAGAGTAGGTAGGGAAGACATAGTCTGGGGACCACTCTTGGAGCATGTTTTTCGCCATTTGGGAGCATGCTTTGAGTATCTTTCATTCTTCGCCCAAAATCCCCCTGTAGGGGGACACGCCCGACTTAACGGTGTGGGGGGGGGGACTGGCGCAGGGGCAACGATGGGGTCAATGATGGGGTCAAGTCGGGCCTGTCCCTCTCTGCAGGGGGAATACAGCCAAAAAGCCTAATAAGGACGCGCGGTAAAGACGCAAGACCCTAGGAGGCCGAAGTTGGGATTTCTGGGGCGGCGGACGACGAAAACCCCAAGACGAAGCCAAGGAAGGACGGAGACGCGAGAGCAAGGAAGAGCAAGGACGCAAGGGCACCCTGAGCAAAGTCGCGCGTCCTTATTCACAAATAGTCAAGAAATAGTCTGGGGACCACTCTTGGAGCATTCTTTTTGCCATTTGGGAGTATGCTTTGAGTATCTTTCATTCTTCGCCTTAAATCTCCCTGTAGGGCCCGGGGACACGCCCGACTTAACGATAGGGGGGGGGACTGGCGCAGGGGGGGGACGCATCGACCTGGGACCGGCGATGCATCGCCGATGCATCGGCGATGGGCCTCCGGTCGTGAATCCGCACCTCCCTGGGCAGGTTGGGGCAATCGGGCCCCGTATCGGCGATCACTGGGCGATTGGGGGTCGATGCATCCCCCCCCCGTGCCGAATCCCCCTCCTGTCGTGCGCCCCCGAGGGCAGGAGGCTCGCAGGGCGCGCGCCGGCCCCCGGCGGCGCTGCGTCGCCCTAGGGCGGGCGGGGGCGTTCGCGCCGCCGCCCGGCGTCGGAGGAAGGCCACGTGCTATTTGAGCAGGCGCCGACCGTCGCGGCAGTTCTACCGGGTCGGGCGAAAGGGGGGGATAGCAAAGGGGGGGTTTGAGAATCAGCTCACGTAGCTGATTTTCCCGGCGCCTCCTGGCGCCGGAGGCGGCTATGTATCGAGGAGTGGGCCCCTCGGTGAGGCCGAGACCAGCTGCATGCAGCAGGTTTCGTAACCCCCTTTCCCAATCCCCCCCTTTCGCCAGGCCCGATTCTACAGGCCTACCACGACATGGTCTTAGGACCCAATAATGTTCTAAGAACACCAACGATGTTCTTAGAACAAAAGCCCGATGTGCTAATACAAGACAGTCCAAGCCAGAAATGTTCTAACATGTCGTGGAACCCACAAAAGACTCTTAGAACATTGTGTGGTAGGTCAATAGGCACGCCAGGACGCTTCGCCACTGCTTGAACTATGTTGCCCCCATCGCACTTAAGGACCACATCGCAGGAATAAGCTTGAGCACTCAGAAAGGAATTGAAACAGTGTCGAGCGGTACCGCCTTTCAGGGGGCCAGACGCGTGAGAACCGTCTAATTTCGGTACTGTCTTGGTGCTCGAAATTCTTTCTTGCGATCAAAGCTAAACTACGTATCAAGGGCCCAGCGGCAGCCAGAACCAGCTGCGCGCAGCAACTTTCGCGACCGCCCCCTCCTTTCCCCATGCCTCCCCCCCCCCCTTCAGCCGAATTCCATCTTTAACCGTTCCCAGGCTCTCGATCCTGAGCATCTCCCTCTGCACTTCCGACACGACGCTCTCGCCGCCGCAGCGGCGCAACGGCGCACCCGGTGCGCGCCCCGCCTGACTCGATTCTCGCGTCCTGCGAACTTCGATGCTCTGCGTTATGGAAAAAACTGCCCGTCGAAGATCTATACCTTGGCCAACACTCCGACCAATACCGACGAAACCTTCCGGCCAAGCCCAGCCAACCCTGGCCTTCCCTCCCAGCAGACCCCTCCAGCAAGCAGTGGTTAGGGACTATGTGTCCCACCAGATACACGATACACTGACTGATGCCTGATGAGGCTGCTCCAGACAGCACGCACAATTGGAGCAGCGCGACGGGGCGGCCTTCGCAGAGGGCAGGGGGAACTAAGCAGGCAGGGGGGCCTCTGATTAGCCCACCCAGCCTCTGAGACAACTTCTTGGAAGCCTCCAGGCCGTCCTCACTAGACGGCCCCCCGCCCTCTGAGATGCCCCCGCCTTTTCAGAAGGCCGCCCCCCCATGGTGACCGGTGGCCCTCGCCCCCCCGTGTTTGTGGTGGTCAGACACGACGCGGTGACAGGCCGCACGGTGACCTCGGAATCCGCCACGACCTTATCGCACGTGCCGTCACAGCCGCCCGTGACGTCCTCGGAGAGCGATCCGAGCCCCAAGACTGTGCGGTCACCCCGAATCCCCACCGACTCACCAGACGATATGGTCACCACAACGTTGTGGGGGGCTCCCGTCTTGTGCGTGACGCCGTCGCTCCCAGGACCTCTCCCCCGGTGCGGTCCGACCAGTGTTCCGGCGCGATGGGGGCCAGTGGCGACGAGGGCCCCCTGGGAAGCACGAGCGAGCGGAAGCGAGGGAGGGGCGCTGGCATTCGGCATGCCTTCCTCCCTTGGCCTCGACCCTCGAACCGTGATCCTCGATCCTGGGCCTCGGGCGCGACCGACCAGCCCACTCCATGGCGAGCCCCTCAACACGGCGAGGGAGGTCGTCACGGAGAGGGTCGGTCTGCTCAGCACAGGGGCGCGCCCAGGGGGGCAGGGCGGAGGGGCGGGCGCTTTGTGGGCCCCAGAAACGGCAGGGCCGTTTTTTCACCGTTTCCAATAAAAATGTCCCTTGAAAATGGAAACGGCAAAAAAACGGCTCCAGGATTGGAACCGGAGCCGGAACCGGTCAAAAAACGGCGACGGAACCGGTAGAAAAACGGCGTCGGAACCGGCACAAAAACGGCAAAACAGAACCGGTAAAAAACGGCCCTGTCGTTTCCAGGGCCCACTAAGGGCGGGCGTTCTCTGAGGGCAGAAGACGGCAGAGCCTCGTTCGGAGCCGCCGAGGGCTTCTCGCAGGCCGAGGGGGCCCGAGGAGCCCCGCTGCCTTCTGAGAAGGCGTGCCCCCTCTCACTTCCACCCTCGGCGAGCCGCCGATGACAATCAGAACGAGCACCCCCCAACCCTTTGAGAGGGGACCTGCATTGGGAGGGCCAAGAATAGCAGGGATAGAGGGGTTCTGTTCTACAGATGTATAGGAACACACACAAACCGCCAAGATCGATTATCCCGAATGCACAGACGGGGACCTTGGTGAGGCTACACCCTGCGACATGCTTAAGAAGTCATGGGTTAAGAAATTCATAGTCTCAGAATCTTGGGATTTACATTGAAAAGTTAAGAATAATCGAGACTCTGGACGAAAACGTAAGTTTTCTTAAGCATCGCCTAGGGTGTACGCCTTCATCATGTAATCAGGGTCAGGGGTTCTTTTACCCTCGACGAGCCGAGACAAGGCCGGTCAGGCGGCCCATGGCCCATGGAAGCCTTCCCCATCTGACCTTTCGGCGCGACGCCCTCGGCACAACCGCGGCCAGGAACGCGTTCCGGTGCGCCTCGCCCAGGTCTGCCAGGTGGCGGGACACGTCCCAGTGCAGCGCCGTGGGCTCGCGCCCCTGGTCGGTGCGGCGGCGCACGCTCCTCCCCCCCCCCATCATCGCTCTCCTTGGTCGCTCCCCTCCTGCTCAACCTCGTCCGCTCCCTATCCTGGAGCACCCCAAGAGGGCCCCAGGTCGGCCGAGAGAGGCCCCCCCAAAATGCGTCCGGCGGCGTCGACGGGCCAGGAGGCCACCAAGACGGCCAAAGGTGGCTCCAAGACGGCCCAAGAGGCCCCCAAAAGGTTTCCAAGACGGCCCAAGAGGCCTCCAAGAGGGCCTCCAGGAAGGCTCAAAAGGGCCAAGATGATTGTCCGCCGGTTTTTGGCATTTGCTTCCTTTCGATGGCCCGCGGCGGCCCAAGAGCCCTCAAAGATCGCCCCAAGATCGCCCAAGAGGCTTCCAAGATGGCCCCAGAACGGCCCGAGAGGCCCCCAAGACGGCGGCCCAAGATGCCCCCTCCTCCTCCCTCTCGGGATCTTCCCCGCCATCCTCCCCCAAGTGTTCCCCGAAGGGCTTCCACCACGGCTGGGGGAACACATTGTCCGACAGCTTGGCAGAGCTCTTGCCGCAACGCTCGGCCACGTGGGCGACTCCAAAAGACAGGGCTCGGCGGTGATTCGCCGTAGACGTCTTCGATTTGGCCACAGATCACCGCATCGGGAGCGCGCGGGTCACCAGAGGACGCTGTTTTGCAACGACTGACTGATCCTCGCACGGCGAGGCAGGAAAGCTTGGATTCGGGCTGGGCGAAAGGGGGGGATGGCAAAGGGGGGGGGGAATCAGCTCACGTGGCTGATTTTTTTCCGGCGCCTCCCGGCGCCAGGAGGCGCCTATGTGTATCGAGGAATGAGCCCGGCGGCCGTGCCGAAACCAGCCGCATGCAGCAGATTTCCCTATACCTCTCTTTCGTTCGGCGCGACTGACATAGGAGACACTTCGGCGGCGGAGCTGCAAGCGGTGGAGGAGGAGCCGAAGCAGATCTCTCGGCGGCTGAGCCTCGCACGGCGAGCTGAGCTGGGCCGACGACGGGCAGCTCCTCCGGGGCAGATCCAGGACGCCCGGGCGCGTGCACAAGAGTGCGAGCAGTACTTTTGCCCAGATCCACTGCAGTATGGAGTTTCGGGCTCCCTTCCCCAGAAGCCCGAGGCGCACTGGATATGGATGAAGTTCCCCCCTGGAGGCACGATGTTTATCCATGTCCAGTGAACCTCGGCCTTGTGGCGCCCCTTGGAAAAAAATTGAAGGCGCACTGGATATGGACATAAATCTTGCCCGCAGAGAGGGCGCGCGCTGCTCGACGTCGGCGGCAGGCAACGCCCTGCAGAGGCGAAAAACGCACGGCGCTCGTCTCGTGAGAGGCGGGCACCCAGAGGCGGCGGAGTGGCGCACCTCCCTGCAGCAGGCTGGCCGTGAAGGAGGCACGGCAGCCCACCAGGTGGGCTCGCCAGCGCTTCTGCCAAGGATACCCACGAGGATCACGAATTATTTAACGGGCAGAGAACGGTATAACATAAACTTTTTCGCCGTCGGAGACACCTGCTCCAGGGCGGCTGGAAAGTTTATACCCTTACGGTGGCACCGTAGGGGTATAAACTTTCCAGCCGCCCAGGGACAGGCGCCCCCGACGGCGAAAAAGTTTACTTTATACCGTTCTTCGCTCGCTGAATTATGCGACCCATGGCATCATCGCGGAGACGGAGTCCCTGGCAAAGGGCAACAGGTCTGCGACGAGTCTCGAGGGAAAGATGGAGGGCCCAACGCAGAAAAAGCAGCTCCCGCTGGCACCTCACCAGGGGAGCTGCGAATGATGCGCTTAGACTTAGATTTACAGGTCACTTGCCGCTCGGCGCCGGGGCGGAGTTGGGCATGCCCACAATATATTACTTCTGGGCTGCGATGCACCATGTAGGGGGGGCGGCTTCCGCTCCATCTCACGGGTCACCTACACGCCCAAAGAGAGTGGCACCATACTCGTGGAGCCGCTCGTCTCAAGAATGCGAGGCAGGACCAACGGGAAAATTGCACGATTCCTGGTCTGCTGGCGCTGCGCGGATTCTGCCAGCCTTCCCTGCGGCTCCTGGAGACCAGTGCGACCACGGTGTCGTGAAAGCTCGCAAGATGGAAGGCGCCGTCTCGACGGTCTGGACGGTGGCGTGGCGGCTGACCTGGGCAGGTCGCTCGCCCAGGGCAAGCCTGCAGGACACGACGAACGACTCCCTCCGCGCGCGGCAAGCACGGGGAGGGCTCGGCGCGGCGGCGGAGCTCCGCGTGCCGCGCGGCCTGGACATGGAGACTGCGCGGCAGCGGTGTCGCAACACCCACACACACAGACCACGAGCGAAGATGACGGACGCCTCAACCTCTTCCGGCGCACATGTGGAACACGGGTGAACGAATGGGAAAGGCGAGAATGGCACAGTGCTGTGGACGTCCTTGAAGCGGAGTGGAAGATGGTACTGGCGGGCTTTATGTTTTATACGTTTTTTAATACAAAAAAAGAGACAAACAAACAAAAAACGGTTTGCGCAAGCGATGTATGGAACTGTGTGGCGGGTGAGCCTTTCCAGCAGGTGCATGGGCTCACTCACTGAGCGACCAGCCAGGACAACACAATGACGACCCTTGGCCCCAAACACACGAGGTCGATTTCTTTAATGTGTGGCCCCAGGGCTTCCGAGGGAGCACGTTCTCGTACCCTGTATGTTCGTAGACTCCCCAAGACCTCTGGAGAAAGCAACCCCCAGACGCCAGTCAGTGGACGCCACAGACGCGTCCCCCGATACTTGCGCAAGACGTCGGAGGTCTGGGGTCTGCGCGACATCCCAAATACAGTCAGGACTTTTTCCCACGAAGCCCCGCAACCCCAACTACTGGGGGGACAATCACGCCCCCTGAAGTCTCGCCACCGTCCACGGAACTGTTTTTCATCCGGATTTTGACGACCCTACGATCCGGTAGGGGCCAGGCGGAAGAGGCCGAAAACGACCAAAAACCCAACCTGTTCCTTCAATGGCCAGGCAAATGTCACCGCAGCGAGGACTGGAGCGGGCCACGGTCAGTTCAACTACCAGCTGGCCGTGCAGATCGGGGGTCAGGACGTGGCTGACGCATGCAATAAAAGCCGCCGAAGCGGACGCACGTGGAAGATGCCGACGGCCATGCGAACCCGCGGGCGGTGCCACACGAGCAGATACAAGAAAGATCTTCCCGCCCCACTCTGCCTTCTCCTTGCCCTCCTGCTTTCCTCCCCCATCCCCCCCCTCGCCCATTTAGCAAGGGCGCGCAAGTCGACGCTCTCTGGCGCCATTGCCGCAGCGGCCGGCACGAGCGCGTTTTCCAATGGCCGGATCGCGAAGCCGCTGGGGCAACCCCATGGGCCAGGCCGCTGGGACAACCCAGCGAACAGCTGGGGCACGGGAGCAAGCCGTCGGGACAACCCCGCAGGTCTCGAGCTAGTCACGGCCGCGCTCTGACGGGGGGTAGCGCGAAGCCCAGCTCTGCCGCGAGCTGAACTGCCTCAGCCCTGGAGTTCGCAGCTCTGTTGTTGAACTCCACGAGCGCCTTCCGCAGGGAATACGGCGACACGCGTTTCAGGAACTCCTCGCGTGGGCGGCCACAGGATCAGCACGTTCCGCATGCACTTGTTCGCCATTCCCTCACAGACGAGATTCCCCGCTCGAAACGTCCGCCATGTTCAACTTTCAAGAGGCCAGAGACAAGGAAAGTTACAGGGTGCCGTTGACCAGCTGGGATTCGTAACGTGAGCTGCGGGCCCCATAGGGAGGAGACTTCCACGCCATTCAATCACAGACGATGTTCCCACCAGATTGGAAAATTAACCAACCAAAAATGAAGACAATTTCAGGGTGACGATGGCCCGCTCGGACTGGTGGCATGGGCTGCGCGCCCCAGAGGGACGGGGCTCCCGAATAAGACTTCCTCCCACTTCACTCACACACGAAGCTCCCGCTCGAGACTTGAGTCATATTCATTCAGGACAGAGGAGCACAAACATGACAATTACAAGGTTCTGGCGACCCGCTCGGATTAATCACGTGACTTGCGGGCCCATAGGGTGGGGGCTCCCGCCTGAAACTTCCTCGCGATGCACTCACAGACGACACTCCCGCCTGAGACTTCCGCCAAATTCAAGATTGAGGACCCCCAAAGTGACGATGATTACAAGATTCCGATGACCCGGTCGGACTAGTAACACGATTTGCGGGTCCTTTCGGGAGGGGGTTCCCGCGTGAGACTTCCTCGCAATTCAATCACAAGCGAGGCTCCCGCTCGAGACTTCCGACATACTCTGGACTGGGAAGCCAACGAATTGACGATGGATGGTTATATACAAGGTTCCGATGGCGCGTTCGGAATGATAACATGAGCTGCGGGCCCCATAGGGAGGGGCTCCCGCCTGAGACTTTCTCGAGATTCAATCACAGGCGAGGCTCCCGCCTGAGACCTCCGCCAGATTCAAGCTTAAAGAAGCCAAATGTGACGACAGTCGCAAAGTTCCCACAGCCCGCCCGGAAAATAATATGACCTGCGGGCCCCTTACAGGGCAGTTTTTAATATATAGGATGTTTAAAAATATTGGATTGTTTTGAATACATGATCAATGTATGGATAAATTTATGCATGAACTCATCGTTGCTTTCAATACTAAATCCCTGTATTTTTAATACATGATCCGCACACGGAGCATGTATTACAAACGGCACTGTAAGGAGGGGCTCCCGTCTGAGTTCCTCGCAAGTCACTCCATATGAGTCATCTGGGGCTCGCATTCTCAGTGGCCGAGACTTCCTCCATGTGACAATGACGACGATGAGGATGGTGATGGTGATGGTGATGGTGATGGTGATGGTGATGGTGACAGTGATGGTGATGGTGATCATGGTGATCATGGTGATCATGGTGATAGTGATGGAGATGGTTATGGTGACGACGACGACGATGATGATGATAATGATGATGATGATGATGATGATGATGATGATGATGATGATGATGATGATGATGATGATGACGGTGGTGGTGGTGATGATGATTATCATAATGATGCTGGGGATGATCTAATTATGATGGGGATGATCGTGGTGATGATGTGACGATGATAACGACGATGCTTATGGGAGAATGTGTGCGCGTGTGCGAGAGAGAGGGGTGAGGTGAGGTGAGGCCTGCTCGGGGTGTCAAGAGAAATCAAAAACAGCAACTTGCGGATGCGAGGAACAACTAAACACACACACACACACGCACACACACACACTCACACACACACACACGCGCGCGCGCACTTCTGGCGTCGCGGCCACGCGTGCAGCAGCGCGGCGAAACCAGGGCAACGGACGTGGAGGGCAGAGCGCGCGGGAGCCCAGATCAGGGACACACGAGCCCGTTCCTTTACTCTTGGCGATAATGGGCGTTACAGGGGATGGGGGGGCAGAAGGGGTGGTATAATGTAACGCCCCCTCCCCCCCGCCGTGTGGCTCCGGCGCCACCGCCGCGCCCGAAGGGCACGACGACGATGAGCGACGAGCGACGAGCGACGACAACGACGACGACGACGACGCGAGCAGCCTGCAGGTGGCGACCTGCCCACAGCGCCTGTGTACACCACAATGCTCGCGTGCATCACAACGCGCGTGTACAACACGGTGCCTGCGTACACCGCACCAGCCGTGTGCGACGCAGCGCCTGTGTACACCACAGCGCTTGCGTGCACCACAGCGCCTGTGTACACCACAGCGAATGTGTAACACCGCAGCAACCATGTAAAACACAGCGCCTGTGTACACCACAATGCTTGCGTGCACAGCAGCGCCTGTGCTCGCCACCGCGCCTGTCTACACCACAACATCCGCGTGCACCCAGAGCTGGTGTACACCACAGCGCCTGCGTGCACAGGACAAGTAGATCGAGCATGTAGGTGAGGATCTGCTGCGGACAGCTAAACGCCACGCCAGAAAAGTGCTGATAGAATGCGACGTTCTTCCCTCTTCCCTCCTCCGCCACCTCCACCTCCACCTCCTCGTCCTCCTCCTCCTCCTTCTCCTCCTCCTCCTCCTCCTCCTCCTCCTCCTCCTCCCTATGCGGATCCCCATGAGATTCCCAATGCGGACCAGGCTCCTATGCGGGCTTCTATGCGGACGCCGATGGAGATCCAGATGCGCACGGCGGCAGTGCCTGGAGCGCACTGGGGGGGAGAAGCGTTATGATATAGGGGAGAGGGCGGGGGCAATAATGCCCATCATGCACCAAGCAGTTATATATATATAGAGATATATATATATATAACAAAAAAGGAGCCGCTCCATGTAGGGGGCAGCCGTGAGGGGGGACGAAGTTGGGGCGAACGAAGAGGGAGGGGGTAGCGGGGAAGCGATGCGGGAGGAAGGAATCGGACGAAGTGCAGCAGCGGATTCGCACTGGGTGGACAGTGGCTGACCCAACACGCACACACACGCACGCACACACACAAACACACACACACAAACACACACGCACACACACACACACACACACACGCACTCACGCACACACACACACACACACACACTCACGCACACACACACGCGCGCGCGTGCGCGCGCACTTTTGGGGCGTCGCGGCCACGCGTGCGGCGGCGCGGTGTCGGCCGAGTCAAGCAAACGCGGTGCGGGCCGGGCCAGCTCACGCAGCACGGAGAAGCTCGAACACACACACACACACACTTGTTTGCGACCGCGGCCTCGCGCTCCAGCGACGAGAGGGAGAGAGTCCCCAAGCGGCGAGAGCGCGCGGGCGGCCAGCCCCTCAGAGAATGGGCCGCCAGGATGCAGCGCACACACACATACACACAGAAACAGGCAGACAAACACACACACACACAAAAAAAAAACAGACACACACACACAAACACACAACATACACACAACATACACACATCCGTCGCGATAGCTTCACGATGTCAGGGGATCAGGCTTTCCAGGCATCCCTGGAACGCTCTCGGCGAGGCGCAGCTGCTGAAAGGCGTCCAAGCGAAAGCGCGAGCACAAAAAAAAGCGAGAACCGACGAAGGGAGGTCTTGGGAGAAAGTGCGTCCCACTCTTTCCGCCCGGGTTCCCGTCCAGACCCTCGCCGGACCGGGCCGGGCCTTGTCTGGGATGTGCCGCTGCGACAGCCGCACGTAGAACTGCCTCGCCTCGTTGGACAGGGACCGCCACACCTTCTCGGGCTCCTCCCCCCTCGTCCCCCGCCCGTCATCCACATGCCGCCTGCTCCTACCTCCCTCTTGCATTCTCGTTCTTCCTTCTCCTCTTCCTCCTGCTCCTCCTTCTCCACCCTCCTCCTCCTCCTCCTCCTCCTCTTCCTCCGCCTCCTCCTCCACCCTCCACCCCCTCCTCCTCCTCCTACTCCTCCTCCAGCCTCATTTCTCCTCCTCCTCCTCCTCCTCCTCCTCCTCCCTCCAGTCCTGCAGTCCTCCTCCTCCTCATCATTCTCCTCCTCCTCCTCCTCCTCCTCCTCCTCGTCCTCTTCCTTCCCCTTTCTCCCTCCTTCTCGTCCTCATTATCCTCTTTATCAACATCATCATCATCATCAGCAGCAGCATCATCAGCATCATCATCATCATCGGCATCATCATCAGCAGCATCATCATCATAATCACGATCATCATCATCACAATCATCATCATCATCAACGGCATCATGGTCTGCATCTGAAGTACCATCGCTCTCACCATACTGATTAACAGCATCGTCATCGTCATCATCTTCAGCCCCATTATGAATATCACAATCGGCATCGTCATGATCGTCGGCACCATTGTCCCCATCACAATAATCAGCATCACCATTATCACCATCGTCACCATCATCATGAGCATCAGCATCATCGTCGTCAACCTTCATAAGCATCACCTCCATGTATCACCACAATCGTCGTACCAGCATCATCGTACTCACCTTCACCATCAGCATCAACAGCCACAATATCCTCATAAGCAGCATCATCGACACCTGCATCGTCACCATCATCATCGTCGTAATCAGCAGCATCAGCTTCATCATCACCAACATCAACATCAACAACCACAACCGTATCATCAGTAGCATCGGCAACAACATCAACAACCATAACCTCCTCACCATCATCAACAACAACCACAGCATCATCCTCAACACCAACATCGCCATGGCCATCATCATCAGCATCATCAGCAGCAATACCATCATCACCACAACGTGCAACATCACCACCATTACCACAATCCGAATCACCATCATCATCACCACCATCATGGCCATCATCCTCATCATCACCAACACTGATCATCACAACCATGCATCATCATACCGGTCGCATCAGCATCAGTATCAGCATCAACACCACCGCAATCACCACTACCACCACTGGATTCATCACCATCACCATCAACAACCACTGCATCAACACTGGCATAAGCATTAGCAGCAGCATCACCAGCATCACCTGCATCATGATCACCATCGTAAGCGTCGTAACCACCATCGCCTTAATCATCAACGTCCTTATCATCATCACCATCAGTATCAACACAACAACCACAACATCACCATAAGCATCAACATCGTCGTCAACAGCCACACCATCACCATTATCACTACCACCAACACCAAACACAACATCGTCATCAACATCAGCATCCGCATCAGCATCAGCATCACCATTACCATCATCAGATGTATCGTCATCGTCGTAATCGTAATCAGAATCGTCACAATCATCATCGTACACACCAGCATCAACAACGTCAGCATCTTCACAACCAGCAACAATCACAAGGGCATCATATTCATCATCAGCACCATACACCAAAGCATCAGCATCCGCATCAACAGCAGCAGCATCTGTATCATCACCACCATCGTGCGCATAACCAGCATCGCCATCATCACCAGCATCACCAACCACAACAACAACACCATCACCGTCGCCCTCCCTTTCAAGCTCCGCGAGCTCGGGTGGCACGCGGACGTCCTCTGCGGCAGATCGGTGCTTGCCGTGGTGTAGCCCCCCTCTGTCACCCACGTTCGCCCCTCGCGCCGCGCGGAGCACGATCCTCCTCGAGCTCTCGCGCGCTCCCCCCCCTGGAGGCCCTCAAGGGGGAGAGAGCGGCTCCGGCCCAGAGGGAGCGGGAGGACATGCAAAAAGGGGCACGAGGGGGACGAGGGAGGCCAGCGTGAGACGGGGGGGGAGGGAGAGTGAAGGGGCCCCAGGACACACAAATAAATACACACAAATAAAAATATTCCCCATATTTTCCCATATTTTCTGGGTTTCTGTCTTCCCCCCCACTTCCCATATTTTCCCATATGTTCTGGGGATCGACGATTAAATGTGTCCGTGTGTTTTTTTCCCTCCTGGGAGAGGGGGCTCCGAGGAGAGCGGCGGAGGACGAGGAGGCGCACGGGGGCGGGGGCGGAGGGCGAGGATGCGGAGGCGGCAAGAAGGGCGGGGATAAAAGGGGATCACTGAAGACACAGGAAAAAGAAAGAGAAAACATTGGACTGGAACAAATGGCTTCCATAAAAACACATGTTCAAACATGTCGACTGCTTTCCAGAGGGAAAAAAAAAGTTCAAACACGACAACTGCTTCCCAGAGAAAAAAAAAAAAAAGGGCGGCTTCTCCCCCTCTCCCATCCCAAGAGGTCGTCCCTGGAGGCAGGAGGGGCACCAACAGAAAGAGCCAGAGGCATGGGAGACAATTGGAAAGCTCATGCGGTCGATGCGACGTGTGAGCCGCTGTCCTGCATCGCCCTGGGAAAGGCTTTGGAAACATACCTTCTGGCCGTTTGCGATTGCTCCGCTCTCCCTGGGCTGTCATGGCAAGGGCTTTGGGTCAAGGTCAGAGCGAGGGGCCCGAACGGTCATTCACTGTCCCTGGGCGCGTGGCTGAAGTGGGGTTCTGCGGTGCGGATGGTTATTATGGTTGCGTTGTTGTTGTTTCTGCTGTTGCTGTTGGTGTTGTTGTTGCTGTTGCTGTTGCTGTTGTCATCGTTGTTGTTGGTGTTGCTGTCGTTGTCGAATCCTCACTTCTGAAGAATATGGACCCCCTGCTCGGTAACCACTGCATTTTTGGAAGTCAAGTGCTTCCCCCGGCCTCGCACCCAGTTGTCAAAAGAGAAAGTAAGGTGTCACCAAAACTGGTCCCGAGGCCCCAGGCTTACAACAACAACGGCTCCAGCCTGACATTTCCTCACGAGTGATTCCACAATCGCACTCTCGCGCGGAACGTCCTCAGTTTATATAGGAATCGCGTTCTCGCGTGGGACTTCATCGCAATTGACTCAGACGCCAAGCCCTCGAAACTCAGGAATCACGCTCTCGCTGTTGATTTCCTCAAGATTTTGACTTCGCGATTCATACAGGACGCACGCTTCAGCAACCCGCCTGCCCCTTGTCCTTTCCTTCCATCCGTCCACTCTTCCCCTGCCTGAGGGACTGCGCGAAATATATGTTGCAGACAAGAATGATCTTCCCCGAAAGGGGTAAGATCGAAGACGAAAACGAACCGTGAATCGCACGCGATCCGATAAGTGTTGTTCTTGTCATCGTCCTCGCCAAGGACCACCCGCGACCCACCCCGCGACCCACCCCGCGACATGCCCCGCGACCAACCCGCGACCCAACCAAATTGCTTTGACGAAAATTCAACGCCTGCGGCGGGCTCGTTGCGCAACGTGTTAAAAATCAGCGCCCGTGGCGGGCTTCTTCAGAGCCTCGCAAACTACCGTCGACCCCGAAACCCCATCACTCTTATCCGCAACTGCGGGGCGCTACGTATACCAGTATCTACCAAGGGTCCTCTCTTCTGGGCTGGCGTGGCAACGTCTTGTGAAATCAGTCTTGCCAAGTTTGACTGTGCGAACGCCCTCCTGAGCTTTCGGTGTAAACAAAATGTACGAACGCGCGAGTGAAATCCAACCGCAACACACACGAATGACTCGCTTACAGCGGCGAACGAAACCTGAGGCTGCAGCACCCTGCAGACCACCGCCGACTCGTAGGCCTGAGTTGAGGCAAGAGCATGCGGAGAGGAAAAGTGGAACACGCATGAAAACAAGGGTGACAGAGCAGGTGGCAGGCACGAGGGGATGCGGATAGGAATTGGCCACCGAGGATAGACTAGAGGGGGAAGGGGAAGAGAAGGAAAGAGGGAGAGAGAGAGAGAGAGAGAAACAAAAAAGAAGGTAATATCTACACATATAGTTATATACATACATATACATACACGCATAGAGGGAGGGATAAGGAACGAACTTGCCAAGAAACGCCTGCACCTAGAAACTCTTAATTCTCCTCTGAAAAACTGGACCTTGTGGCCGGTCTGGCGGCCATGTGGTCGCTGTGGCCGTCCCGTCGTCGCCGCCTCGTCGCCGACCATCGTCGGCGTTAATTTGCATCACCAAATCGGTTCCTCAAAAAATGACCGCGCCTGCAGTGCGTTTATTTGACCATTCGCAATTTAAGCTGCACCACGCGTATTGCATAACAGAAACTGAAGGGCGATGATTGCATAACATATATTGCACAACCAGGTACATTGCACCGTGTAGATTACACAATACGGATTGCAACACAAATGTTGCACAACAAATACTACACGACCACATCGTTTGCACAACATCTATTCTTTACTGAACAAATGTTGAAACGACCCCCCATCGTGATTAAACCGCGCACGTCTTCGCATTGCAATTTAGATCCGGGTCTGCCCCATCGCCCATCTTACATGTGAACTCGTACCATCCCGGGCACGCCGTTATCCCCCCCTCATCCCCTGCAAAATAACTATGCCCGCACACCCGCTTATCATAATTATGTTTTGCCACGAATCCTCTGCCCCCCCCCAAAAAAAGAAAAAAGGGAGTACTGCACACGCGCGGGTCGTCGCGCGCGCATGCCGTTCATGCTGGACCCCTCTCTGAAAATAATTAGAAATGTCGCCAACAAAAATCAAAACCGAGTCCATGAAACATCTGGAAATGTATGGCTTCGGGCAAAAATGCATATCACCATAAAGCTTGCGCCCGGGCTGTTGCGAATTAGTGGGACAACTCATGGTGTTGACCAATTTTTCATAACGGGCTACCCAACATTTTTTCCGCGCGCTTGTCGGAATCGCTCGAACGCCCTGACCCGCGCGATGTCGCAAACATTCCTTGCAAACAAAATCGACGACTGCCGAAATCCTTCATGAACCACCTTGGTTTCGTGAGGACGCTGATTTGCAATACCAGTGTTCAAAAGCACCTGCGCTCGCGTTCCTGCGAAATTCAAAGAAAACCATCGGTCTTCAAAATTGCCATTACATTGGGTCAAACGGGCCCCTCGCGCAGCAAAACAAACTCATTCGAGCGCCCTTGCGCACGCGCTGGGGGGGGGGCACGATCCGTGTCAAATCAAAACGTGCGGGCCATTTTCGCGTCGGCCAGGCGCGCATGTCAAACTCCCTACAAACACTCTATCGCCGCCGCGAGGGCGCCGTCATCGTCGTCGGCGTGATGCTGTCATGCCGTCGTCGCTGTCACCATCGTCACCAGCATCGCTGCCATCGGCATCGCACCTACCGTCGTCGACATTGCCATGGTACCGCGCCCGCCCAAGCCGCCGACTACCACTAAAGCGCTCGTTGGGAAGTGCCCAACGGTCAGCGCCCCCGCGACCGCATCGGCAAAACCAAACTATCTGGCCGCTGCGTGAGCGAGCATGCGCGGGGCGTGCTAGCGCGGCCGCGGAGATGCACTAGCCAACCCCAAGCACCCATCGCAATCGCCACCGCATGGGTTTTGCAAAACAACCTGCGGGTGGGTGTGTGGGACGATTGCTCGAACAGTAACAAAAAATGCTTTTCTTTGCTGGACAATAATAATATGCCCCCCCCGCCCCCCAGGATTAGCACATCCATTTTCGTATTGCAGTTTGAATGCGAGTCTACCCCATCGCCCACCCTATGAATGAAATCGAACCATCCCAGCCAAGCTGGTACCCGCCCCCCGGCCATCCTCTGCAAAAAGTATGATGCGCGCGCACTCGTTTACCAAAAACCATCACTTTTTCTGAACACTTCCGTGCACACAAACAAAGACGAAGCGTACGCGCGCGCGACGTCGCGCGCGCATGGCAAAACCTGTACTGTCGCGGGAATGTCAAAATCGAACGCCCAAACAAAATCGCACAAGAAAATTTCGCAATACGGAACTTCAAAAAAAAAATTAAAAAACAAAACTTGCCCGCGCGCTCTCGCGAGTTCCCCAGACAAGCATACTTCTTCAGCATTTTAAAAGTTTACCAAACGGGCTTCGCGCGCGCGCATGCTGGTATCGTTCGAAACCCCCTGCGCGCGTGCCGTCGCGAGAACACATTTGAACAAATGTGACGAACTGCGCGCGCGCACCGTCGCGCGCATGCCAGTCAGTCAAACACCTCTTCGTTTTCGTAACGATTTCAAAACCGAGTGTCCAAAACACATGTAAAACAATGTGGTGTCGCACCATCAATTCTCAAAAAAAAAACTTCGCTCGCGCTCTTGTGACTTCCGGAGGAACCCAGAATAGATGTTCAACCTGTTCACGGAATTCTGCAAAACGGGCATTTTGCGCCGCATGCCGATAACGCTCGCGCGCCCTTGAGCACGCGTTGGGGGAGGAGGAATGATCCGCACCGAAGATTACCATGCGGGCCACTCTCGCGCGTCGGCCACACGCGCATGTCGAATTCGTTCCAAAACCTTCATCACCGACGCGAGGACGCCGTCATCGTCGCCGCCGACGTGATCAGCATCCGCGCCGTCACTGGCCGCGCCGCCGTCGCTGACAGCATCGCTAATAGCATCATCGTGCTTACCGTCGTCGACGTTGCCATTTTGCCGCGCCCGCCCAAGTCACCGACTCGTACTGAAGTATCCGCTGGGATGTGCCCAACGGTCAACGCCGCCGAGGCTGCGTCGCTCGCGCCGAAACAGCTGGCCGCCGCGCGCGAGCATGCGCAGGCTGTCGTGGCCGCAGGAGCTGCACCAGCCAGCCTCGATCACTCATCGCAATCGCCGCCGCATGGGTTTCGCAAACCATGCTGCGGGTGGGTGGGTGGGTGGGACGTTTGCGCAAATAGTGGGGTGGATTGCACCATGTAGGTTGCACCGCATAGATTGCATTGAGTGGATTACACCACAAATATTGCACCACAAATGTTGCCCAACATGAATTGCACCACACAAATTGCACCACAATCTTTGTCGCGCCTGCGGTACGCTTGTCGATCGCTCACAACATAGATTGCACCACATGTAATGCACAATTCAAGTGGTACATTGTATCTTGCACAACTGGACAACATAGATATCCGTTCTGACAAAAACTCGACGCGCCCCAAGATTATCCACTCCCCTTGTCGTAATGCGAGTTACGTGCGTTTCTACCCCATCGTCCACTCGAAACATGAAATCACAGCATCCCAGATGGGCAGTATCCGCCCCCCCCCCCGCCCATTTCGACTAAAAACACTATGCGCGCGCAGTCGCTCATCAAACATCATAAATGTCCAAGAACCCATTGCGCAAAATAAACCGAAATCCGGACGCGCGCGCCGTCGCGCACGCATGGCGAAGTCCCTCAAAAACCGGTGATGTTGCAGGGGTGTCGAAATCGATTGCCCCCAAAAACATACAAGAACACAGGGTCTCGCAACGAGGATTTTCATATAAAACGCAAAATTGTGCGCGCGCAGACAACAACTGGTTTTCAATCTTTCTCATGCTACCAAGCGGGCTTCGCGCTCGCATGTCGAAATCGTTCGAACGCCCTTGCGCGCGTGCCGTCGCGAGAATCTGGTTTGCCAAAAAAAAACGACATACTGCACGCGCACGTCGTCGCGCGCGCATGCCAAAATCCATGTAAACCTGGATTAGTCACGTGTGCAAAACCGAGAGTCCAAAAAACATGAAAAAATATACCTGGTTTCGCAATCTCCGATTGCAAAGAAGAGCGCGCCCTTGCCCGAACATATCCTTGACTAAACCATGGTTGATTCAAAATGTGCACGGAATTCTGCAAAACGGGCCTTTTTTCGCGCCGCGCGTCGACATCATTCGCACGCCGTTGCGCACATGCTGTTGGGGCACGACCCGTATAGAAATAGACCATGCGGACCACTCTCGCGCGTCGGCCGCGCGCGTATGTCGAACTCTTTCAAAAACTTCGTCGCCGACGCGAGAAGCCGTCATCGTCGCCAGCGTGGTCCGCATCGGCTTCCGCACGGGCCGCGCCTTCGTCTTTGTCAACATCGTTACCAGCATCGCTAATATCATCAGCGTGTCTACCTCTGTCGACGTTGCCATGATACCGCGCCCGCCCAAGTCGCCGACTCGCAGTAGAGTGCCCGCTAGGATGAGACCAGCGGTCAGCGCCACCGCGGCCGCGTCGGTCCCGCCGACAAAACTGTCCGCTGATCGCGCGTGCATGCGCGGGCTGTCGCGGCCGCAAAAATGCGCCAGCCAGCGCCAAGCACTCATCGCAATCGCAGCCACATGGGGTCTGCAAGCAAAGTTGTAGGTGGGTAGGTGGGATGTTTGCGCGAGCAGTGGAGAAGACAACCTCAAGTGAATTGGTGGATTACACCACATAGCTTGCACTACCCTTTTTTGCACAGCGTAGATAGCACAAAATTGGCTGTACAACAAATGCCTGCGGTCCAAGCTGTCTAGCATATGTATTATATGTGTCTAACTGGATTCGCGCGCGCGCTCAAAGTCTAGCGCATACCGAGGGGGAACCACAAGCGACTGCGACCGCCGGATCGCAGAGCAGAAGGAGTCAGAATGATTATCCCTGTTCAAATCATGATCGTCCCCATCACGGTCACCGACGCCATTCAACACATCATGATCATCATCATAACCATCACCATCATCACCACTATCATCATCATCATCACCATCATCATCATCGTCATCATCATAATCAGCATCAGAATCATCACCACCTTCAACATAATGATATCACCATAGTAATGACTATGACCACCAGTATCGTCTTCATGATCAACCTCATCGTCGTCAGAATCATCATCATAATCATCATCGTCGTCATCGTCACGCGAGCGCTCTCTCGCGTGACTGAAAGTTGCACTGCTAGCATGAAACCGTGCGAAGCCGCGCTGCAGAGCCCGAAGAGGAACTCGGAAGGGCTCCAGGAAGACCCGAACAGGGCCCCAGAGGGACCTTAAGAGGAGAGACAGCGTGACTTAACTTGCACTCCTGTGGGAGCCCCCTGGGAACCCTCCCAGGCCGCGTCGAAGGCCCCAAAAAGGGCTGGGAGGGGCGCCAGGAAGACCCGACGAGGGCCCCGCTGTGCCCCAACGAGCATGGAAAGGTAAGTCATGCGCGCGCTTTCGCGTGACTGCATTGTCACTGCTAGTGAAGCCCTCTGTTAGCGCCCCGACGCCGAAGTGGACGGACCCATGAGGGTCTCGGAGGAGCCTAAAGAAGGCCCCTCCTAGGCCCAAGAGGCCTCGTGAGCCGACTTGGGGCCCCCTGGAAGCTGTACTGGCACCTTGGTGGGGGCGTCTGAGGCGGCCTTTAGGCGATCCTAGGCCCTCTTGGGTCGTTTTCGAGCGTGGAGAAGCGGGAAAGGCAGAGTGGTGAAATGTGCAGAGAAAACTAATGGAACGTCATTTGAATTCGTGTCTCGGGGCTCTCGTAGTATTGCTCTTGGAGACATCTTGGGTCACCTTGGAGGCCTACAATCAAAACGTATATTAAGGACGGGTGATACGGACGCAAGACCCTTGGAGGCCGCAGTTGGCTTTTTAGGGCGGCGGGCGACCAGTGATAATGGCAAGGACGGGCCTCAGAGGCAAGGACACAAGCGTACCCTAGATGAAGGCGCACGTCCTTACTAGGCGCGTTGACTGTATTGCTCTTGGAGGCATCTCGGGCCAACTGGGAAGCCTATGGGGCCGTTTGGAGGCCGGCGGGACGTGTGGAGCGCCATTTGTAAACGACTCGGACCCTTCTTGGAACGTCTTGGGGGCCCCTGGGAGCTCTCTTTGGCTCTGTTGTCGGGCCGTCTCGGACGCCTCTGGAACGCCTCGTGTGCCGTCTTGGGACCCCCGGGGGGAGGGGGAGGACAGAGAGGGGAGAAGACAGGCAGAGAGGCGTAGAGACAGAGACAGGGAGAGAAAGAGAGAGAGAGAGAGAGAGAGCGAGAGATGGTGACAGAACGAGGCAGATACACAGACGGGTTGGGCGAAGCAATCCCCAGAAATTCAAAAACTGCTCGCCATTGGGGGGACCCACTATCAACTGGGCGATTGCATTGCGATTGCGTGTCGATGCCTCCCCCTGGCCCTGCCCCCCCTAAACACTGCCCATGAGTGAGCGAAAGCCGAAAACCGTCGCCGTCGTCCAGGAACTCTTCCACCAGGATCCCATCCTATTGTGCTAGTCGTCGGCGTTCTCGTCGTCCGTCGGCCGTTGTCATGGTGATCATCCGTCGTCCTCGTCCGTCGTTCGTCGTCGTCGTTGTCATGGGCGTTCTCGTCGTTGTCGTCGTCCGTCGTCTGTGATCCGTCTTCCGTCGTTGCCGTCGTCGTCGTAATCGCCCGTCATCGTCCGTCGTCGTCGTCATCGCCGCGTCGTCGTCGCCGTCGCCGTCGCCGTCATGGTCGTCGTCGTCGTCGATGTCATGATCGTCGCTTCGTCGTCGTCGTCGTCGTCGTCGTCGCTGTCATGGTCGTCGTTGTGGTCGGCGTCGCCTCCGTCGCCGTCGTTGAGCAGGGACCGACCGTCCCAGCATTCCTATAGGCCTAACACGACATGTTCTTAGCACCCCGAAACATGTTCGAACAACAAAAACAATGTTCTTAGAATAGAAGCCCGATGTGTTAAAGCAAGCAAGCAGTGTTCTGAGAGCAGTTCGTGGAGACCACAAGAGGTTCTCAGAATCGGGGATGAACACACCCCTTTAGCAAAACGTGGTTTAGTGAAAACGACCTGAGGCCCAAACCTGGCGGGCGCAAGCCTGGAAAATAACGGCCACGGCGCCACCTCGAAAACCGAAAACGGACAATTCACTAATCGACGTGTCACTGTTGGTGGGTTCTGTCCACCCCCGACAGAACCTTACTTGGTAGGCCCACTGGCAAGCTGACACGCTTCGCAACTGCTTGACGTCGTCGTCTGCCGTCTGCCGTCTGCCGTCTGTCGTCTGTTTCGTCGCGGTCGCCGCCGGTCTTCGCCGGTCTTCGCCGTCGCCGTGCCCGCCCCGCCGCCAGTCGAGCGCCAGCCCCCGCCGACCGAGCACCGAGGGCCGAGGCCTGGCACGCCCGACATGGGTACACAAAGAAAGATGGGATGCACAGGGACACACCAATTTGATGGGCATGTTTCCCACCACCACCACCATAAGTTGGAGGGGGGAAGGAGGTGGAGGAGGAGGAGGAGGAGGAGGAGGAGGAGGAGGAGGAGGAGGAGGAGGGGGAGGAGGCGGGGGAGGAGGAGGAGGAGGAGGAGGGGGAGGAGGAGGAGGAGAAGAGGGGGAGGAGGACCCCCTCCTCCCTCCAACTTATGGTGGTGGTGGTGGAAAACAGGCCCATCATAGTTCGCCAGTCAGTGCTTGCACTGAAGGGGTCCCAGCGGAAGCTGAAAGATTTGGCGAAAACTCCCCGCTGATTTTGGTGGCAGGCTGGGTTCCCGGGTTCCCGGGTTCCCGGTTCTGGGTTCCCGGGTTCCCGGTTCTGAAGGATTTGGCGAAAAGTCCCCGCCGATTTTGGTGGCAGGTTGGGTTCCCGGTTCCGGGTTCCGGGCCATTTCGGAGGGCGGCGAGGTTCCCGGATTCCTGGGTTCATGGTCGATCATCTGATCGATCGGTCGCACCATCGCTCTCATTACCAACTTCTCGATCGATCTCACCATCGATCTAACCATCGATCTCACTATCAATCTCACAAGCGATCTCGCTAGAGATCGCATGCGGGATCTCGCCATCGATCGCACTATCGATCTCATTGAATCGATTTCACTATCGGTCTCACGATCGACCTTACAATCGTCCTCACTATCGATTCCACTATAGATCTCATGATCGATCCCACAATCGCTCTCACGATCCACAGTATCAATTTTCAAATCATCCACTGATTGGGGTTTTTTCAGGTGCGATACTATATACATACCGTCCCGACCATATAGTTTACCCATCTTGTAGTACACCCAGCGAAATGCTTAAGAAATCATGGGTTAAGAAATTCAGAGCCTCATAATTTGAATAAAACCCAAAATTTCTATCAAAATGTTGGGATTCACATTGAAACAATAAGAATAATCGAGACTCTGGCCGAAACCTTACGTTTTCTTAAGCATCGCCTAGGGTGTATATCGGTTCCCGAGCGGGGTGGCCAGAAAGAGCCCGCCACGACGCATCGCCCCTAGGGGGGGGGCGATGCACATGTAGTAGTAAAGTCTGCGGTGGTGACGCCAAAAAGATACGATGCCCAGCAGGAAACGTTGTCCATATTCGACAGCGGCGGCTGTTGGCGAAAAAACACAAAAACATCATAAACATTAACTGTTGACGCTCCGCGCGGATTTCTTGGATCCGCGCTGGACCCCCCCTCCCTGGCGCGCGGAGCGGGCCAGGGGCGGCGCTGGAGGCGCCGCCAAGGGGGCCCGGCGTAGATCCAAGAAATCCGCGGGGAGCATGTTTATGCCGTTTGTTCGTCTTCGAGTTCAGCAGGCGACATCTCGTTTCATCGGATAGCGGCTGCGGCGAGTCCTGTTTTCACAAGGGAACAAAAAAAACGACTGTAGCTCGGAGTCCCCAGTCTCGCCATCGCTCGGACGTCCTTTCCCTGTGTTTGTTTTGGTTTCGTGCGTGGTTTTTTCGCCAAATGATCAAGGATGCTCCTCGATGGTCCTCGCCGAAGGAAAAATGCACACGTCCGAGCGATGCCAAGCAGTCCTTTCAGCACCGAACTCGATCGCACCGAGGAGACGCGGCGCGCCAGCCTTCATCAGGTGCTGCGGGCGCGCGGTGATGAAGATCCTGCGGAACCTCGCGCGCGGGGGGGGGCAGGTCTCCCCCCCCCCCTCACCCCCCCTCACCCCCTGGAGGCCCACTGGGAGGCCCCTCCCCCCCCTCCCCCCCCCCCTCCTCCCCCCCCCCCCCCCCCTCCCCCCCCTGCCTGCCCCTCCCTCCCCCCCCTCCCCCCCTGGAGGCCCCTGGGAGGCCCCCTGAGAGGCCTCCCTCCCCCCCCCTTCCCCGCGGAGGCGTCCGCGCCACGCAGGGCTCTGGACGCCCCTGGAGGTCGTCCCCGCCCCTGGACGCCAAGATTCAGTATCGTTCAACCGATCCCCATTCCCAGCGTTGTGGCCTGGGCCCCACTGGCCGATTTACCCCCCCTAGATGGGGATATAGGTTGTTTCCTTCGGGTTTCAAAGGGGTATACCCTCAAGTGGGGTGGTAATGTGGTCGGGGTCTCTGGCGCTCTGGAAGGGGATGGGGATGGGGGTGGGGACCGGTTAAGCGATACCGAAAAATAAGCCGGTCACTCAAGGAATATGAAGTATTGTTTCGCGCTCCTAAACCTTCTCCTCTTCCTCCTCCTCCTCCTCCTCCTCCTCCTCCTCCTCCTCCTCCTCCTCCACCTTCTCCTCCTTCTCCTCCCTCCTCCTCCTCCTCCTCCTCCTCCTCCTCCTCCTCCTCCTCCTCCGGGTGCGGGTGCCGCAGGGCAGGTGGGCAGCTCCCCATGGGGCCACGAAGCGTGCGAGGAGCTCGCCAAAACGGCTGCGGGGCCGCCCTGTGGACCCGTGCCGCTTGGGCCTTCGGCGGAACTCCCCATGGGGCCGCGAGGCGCGCGAGGGGCGTGCCGCAAGGGGTGCGGGGCCGCCCTGCGGACTCTGCTGCTGGGGCCTTCGGTGGAGCGGCCACGAAGAGTGTGATGGGTGTGCCGACGTGGGCGCGGGGCCAGCGTCCAGGCCCTGCCACTGAGGCCTTCGATGGGTCTCCCCTTGGGGGCCACGAAACGTATGAGGGGCGTGCCGAAGTTGGCACGGGGCTGTCATGCGGACCCTGTCACTGGGGCCTTTGGTTGAGTTCCCTATGGGGCCACGAAACGTGTGAGCGGTGTGGAAAAAGGAGCTCGGGGCGGGCGGGCGGACCCTGCCGCTGGGACCTTCGGTGGAGATCCACATGAGGTTTCAGCTCCCTGTGGGGTCACGAATCGTGTGAGAGGTGTGGCGACAGAAACATGCGGAGGGCAGATGCAGGGATGGGAGGAGGGGGGAGGAGGAGGAGGAGGAGGAGGAGGGAGGACGCGGGGCACTGTCTCTTCAAAGCGAGCCGACACCACAAGATGGTTGGGAAAAGAGCAGGTGGAAGGGAGCAAGAATATGCAAAAGCCTCGATCCTCCAGCTCCTGCATCTGCATATTCCGTCGGCCTCCTCCTCCTGCTCCACCTCGCCCTCGATCATCCTCCTCCTCATCCTCCACCTCCTCCTCCTCCTACTCCTTCTGATCCCCCTCACCCCTGCTCACCCCTCATAAATATCATCGCTTTCCTCCTCCTCCTCCTTCTCCTCCTCCCTCCTCCTCCATCATGTTCCAACTCTGCCCTCCCCGTCATCAGCACTATCATCTTTATCAGCATCATTATCAGTAGCAGTATCAATATCATCAGCAGCATCCGCAGCATCCGCATCATCATCAGCATCAGCATCATCATCATCATCATCATCATCATCATCATCATCATCATCATCATCATCATCATCATCATCATCATCATCGTCACCAACAACATCATCATGATCATCATCATCATCAGCATCATCATCAGCAGCAGCATCAGCATCAGCATCAACATCATCATCATCATCTGCACCATCATCATCATCCGCGTCAGTATCATCAGCAACATCGTCATCATCAGCAGCATCAGCATCAGTATCAATATCAGTACCATCAGCGTCCTCATCAGCATCCGCTTCATCACCAATCATCAGCACAATAATCATCATCATGATCAGCATCACCATCAGCACCAGCATCATCAGCATTGTCAGGAGCATCAGTATCAGCAGCAGCATTATCAGATTCATCATCATCATCATCATCAACATCATCATCATCATCATCATCATCATCCGCATCATCATCATCATCATCATCGTCATCGTCATCGCAATCATCATCATCAACAGCAGCAACAGCATCATCAAAAGCATCAACAACAGCATGATCAACATCAACATCTCATCATCATCACCAGCATCATCATCATCACCATCATCATCCGCATCATCATCATCATCAGCATCATCTATACTATCATGTCATCATCATTAGCATCAGCATCGGCATCACCATCATTATGGTCAGCATCAACAAGGACACCTCATTATTGTTATCATCGTCGTCATCATCATCATCGGCAGAAGCAGCAACCGTCTCTTCGTCGTCATCGTCATCATAAGCAACATCATCATCATTATCGTCGTCGTCCTGCTGCACATGCACGGTTCTCTCTTCCTCCTCCTCCTCCTCCTACATTCCTTCTCCTTATAAACAGCTTCTCCCTGTCGCACCCCGAAGCCAGTCATTAGGGCGGCCGGACGTTTCGCCTGAGACTTCATCACCATTTGCGACCCTGAAGCTTAACAAGTGGCAACAGTTCCACAGATTGAGAGCGGGTCTTTTTCAGAATGTGGCTCTCGCCTGAGCGCCCTGCATATTCATTTTATAGATTTGCAAAGAGTTTCACGGATCGAGGGCGGTTTCTTTTCAAAATGTGGCTCTCGCCTTAGCGCCACGCACATTCATTGTTCAATTTGTAAGAGTTTCACGGATTGAGGGCGGTTCCTTTTCATACTGTGGCTCTCGCATTAGCGCCGTGCACATTCAGCTTTACAATTGCAAAAGAACCACGGATTGACGGCGGTCCATTTTCAAAATGTGGCTCTCGCCTTAGCGCCGCGCACATTCGTTCATTAAATTCGCAGGAGCTTCACGGATTCCCATGATCAGTATACCAGAAATGGTGTAGAGTGACTCAAGACTGTGAGGGTGCAACAGTTATGTTGATTCGCGTTGTTGAAGTCCCAGGAATGGCGTTCTGGCACAATTCAGGACAGTCAAGCCGCAACAGCTAGGTTGATCCGTGGCGTTGAAATCCCGAGAACGATGTTTTGGCATGCTTCAGGGTCTTCAAACGGTTGACTTCCAACGAGGCAGTTCCCTGAGTGGAAATGAACCTTGTAGGAGCCTATGAAGAGGGAGCTTGGAGGGAGGGTGCATTCCAACAGCGTTGATGACTCTTGGGTTTACACTGGTCCTCCTCCTCCTCCTCTTCCTCTTTGGCCTCCGCCTCGCGCCAGCGGCCGCGATCGACGACGACAACAACTACGACGAAGACGACAAATATAACGACGGACGAGGGACGAGAGACGAGGGACGATGATCACGACGACGGCAACGACGCCGACGACCAGCATGACGACCGACGACAGACGACGACGACGACGAGGACGACGACGACGACGACGACAAGAACGTCGACGACGGCGACGAGGACGACGACGACGACGACGAAGGCAACGACGACGACGGCGACGACGACGACACCGGCGACGACGACGACTGGCGCCAGGTTTTGAGCCCTGGGGCGTCCCCAGGGACCAGTTTTTCATCCTGAGTCGTCTTTTGACAGTACCAGGGCCCGCCGCAGGAACCTGAAACCGAAAACATTAAAAACTGAGTTCCAGGCGTGCTTTTTCCTCGAGGCCCCCCCCCCTCCCCACGGCGAAACGACGACCACCACAACCACGGCCACAACCAGAAGAGGAGCCGACGAGATACGCACGCGCCCCACCGCTTGCAGGAACGCGGCCCCCCAGTCCGCGATGCCGGCCTCGTGTCTGTCACGCGCGCTCGCGCAGCGCCTACTCTCGACGAACACGAGAAGAGTCATGCACGCGTAGTCATTGGCCTCCTGGATGGGATCCGAGTATATGGGGTCGGAGGGTCCCCCCGCATGGCCGATGCATCGGCACAACATCGGCGATGCTTCGGCGACGCATCGGCGGCGCCTCGGCGATGCATCGGCGATGCATCGGCGCCGCCGGCGTGGAGGATATCGGCCTCCACACCAAGCCGCATCGCCGATGCGTCGGCGATGCGGCGCGATCCTTCGACCCCAGACTGTTGCTTGTTGTCGCTGCTCCACTGCGGCGGCGGAGTGCTGCGGCTCACGGCGGCGGCCAGCAGCGACCGGCGCTGGACGGCGGCGGCGGCCAGTGGCAAAGGAGGGAATCGGGTGGTGAGGCGAACAGGCAAAGGGCTGAACCTAAACGGTGTTTTTCGTTTTCGTTTTGTTTTCGTTTTCCCTCGTTCTGTTTTCAATCCACATCCACCGCAAAACGAAGTCGAAACGAAAACGGCCCACGAAATCGCCAAAACACCATTTAGGTCCAGCCCTGCCCTTGCACCCAGGACCTCTCTCGCATACACGCAAGAGTGACAACGGGCAAGAGTGATTTTTTGTGCCCGGCTTCACGGGAGACGCGTGGCGGCAAAACCCAGGCGCGCAAGCCGCTGCCACCGCTTCGCGTGCAGCGGTCGGGGGACCTCATTGGGTCCGCACCGAAGGTCGCCCCGGCGAAGGGTCACCCCTACGTCCAGTCGACTCTCCCGGGGTGCGGGCCCGAAACGAAAAACTGCTACAGGAAACGGTGCTGGGGCAGGGGGGGGGAGAGGCGGAGAGCGCACCACGAGGGCCTCCAGGAACAAGAAATCGTTCCATTCCTTTCGGTAAACGTGCATTTTTAGCACATTCGCCTCTTGGGCGTTCACAACGTCCCAGACGGCCAAAGAGGCCTTGAAGATCGCCCCAAGACGGGCCACGAGGCCCCCGAGAGGGCTCCAAGACGGCCCAAGAGAGCCCCAAGACGGCCAAAGAAGCCCCCAAGACGGCCCAAGAGGGCCCCAGGACAGCTCCAAGAGGGAGCCCGGAGGGGGAACCCGAACGGACACTTCGAGTCTTCCACCCCAAGACGCCCCCGAGTTGCCCCAAGAAGCCCCCGACAAGCCCCCAGGGAGCCCCAAGATGGCCGCAAAAAGCCGGCCCCCAGAGGGCTCCCAAAAGGTTAAAAAACTGCCTCCAAGACGCCCCGAGACGCCTCCCACTAGACCCTATCAGCCATCCGAGTGGCCTCAGACCACGGTGCCGGGATGTGCCGAAGGCCCTTCGATCCGCCGCCCCCTGTTGATTCATCACAAGGATGCCTGGCGTGCTGAATCCTTTCGGTTTCGGTTTTGGTTCTTTTTCCAAAAGAACTCCCCCTGGGGCTTCGGCGCGTTCCGCCGGGGTCCCGGAAGACCGCGTAAACCATTCATCGTCCAACAAAAATCCTCCAAGCAGCTCAAGATGGCCTCCAAGATGGCCACGTTGGCCCAAGATGGCCTCCAAGATGGTTCAAGATGGCCTCCAAGTCCGCCGAAGATGGTCCAAGACGGCCTCCACGATGGCATAAGAGAGTCCAAGATACCTCCAGGTTCGCTCAAGAAGCTTCCAAGACGGCCCTACAGGCCTCCAAGAGGTCCTCTTGGAGGGCCCGAAGAGGCCAACATCATTGATAATCCTTAGGTTTTTGAAGAAATTGGGCATTTGCTCCTTTTCGGCTTATCGACGACCCAAGACGGCCCAAGAGGCCCCCAAGATCGCCCCCAAGGGGCCTCCAAGATGGCAGCAGGACTGCCCAAGAGGCCCGCAAGACGGCCCCAAGAGGGCACAGAGACGACCCAAGAGGCCTCCAAGACGCCCAAGATGGCCTCCAAGACGGCCCTGGAGCACCCCAAGAGGGCTCCAAGTCGGCCCAGAGGGGCCCCCAAACGGCTTCCGACGGCGTCAGACGGGCCAGGAGCCCACCAAGATGGCCGAAGTTGGCTCGAAGCTGGCCCAAGACGGTATACGAGGCCTCCAAGAGGGCCTCCAGGAAGACCAGAAAAATGCCAGAAACATTGATTTTCCTAAGGGGTTTGAAGGATTTTGACATTTGCTTCTTTTCGGCCTTCCGTCGGGCCGAGACGGTCCAAGAGCGCCCAAAGATCGCCCAAAGATCGCCCAAAGATCGCCCAAGAGGCCCCCAAGACGGCCTAAGAGGCCCCCAAGATGGCCCAAGAGGCCTCCACGCTCAAGATGGCCTCCAAGACGGCCCAAGAGCCCTCCAAGAGCCCTCCAAGACATCCTCCAAGAGCTCTCCAAGAGTCAAAATGGCCTCCACACGGCCAAGATGACCTTCAAGATGCCCACGTGTTCCCCGAAAGCTTTCCAAACCGATTCGGGGAACACATGGTCCGATAGCTTGGCAGGTCTGGCCTCAACGTTCGGCCACATAGGCGCTTCCAAAAAGGCAGGGGGCGGCGGTGATTCGCCGTAGGCGTCGTCGAAAATCATTATTCGGGTGTTGTGACAGACGCCCGCCGTCTGTATACGTGGGCTCTCGCCCGTTTCCCCATGCGCGCACGGCGAATACTGAGAATATCAACCCAAGAGGCCCCGCAAAGGCCCCAACAGGCCCCCATGAAGCCCCAAGAGAGCTCCAAGAAGCCACCACAAGACGCACACCAGGCCCTCAGGAGCAACACGCAACAACAGCTAGTTCCCCAAGGGGTCTGCGGTGTGGCGTCAGCCCCAAGAATATATCGAGAATCTCCGAGAGCCGGCGAATCAAGGAGGACGTCTCCGGTGCCGCGGCCCTCTCGGAGCGTTCGGCAGCTCTTTGAGAGCGCTCCGGAGCGCTCTGGAACGGATTTACCCCTGCCCTATATAGCCCCGTCCGCCGATCTCTGGAACGCAAAAAGACAGACGAGTACTATATGTCCTCCTTGGACACGCGCGTCCGACCCGAACATATAGTATATCCATCTCGCAGTATATCGTTTTCTGAGCGGTCTGGCCAGACAGCGCCCGCCACGACGCATATACTGTAAGACTTCTCGGTGCGCGCGTCGCCACTGGGGGGGCGACGCACGCCCCGTCTTAGCATGCTGGGGTGACGCCGAGTCCCTCGTCCTCCGAGAGGGGGAGGCCACTCCGCCGCAGGAGAGCCCAGAATCGAATCGATGAGTCGGATCGCCGATCGACATGAACCGGATCGGCGGAAATCGGCAGCCGAGCCGGGAAGAGTCGACTCGGCGGGGAAAAGTCCGCAGGCCAGAAGGCCTCCGCTGAGACCCCGGAGCCCGGATCGGAAGCCCAAGCCGAGTCGGATCGGAGTCGGCAGCCATCAGAAGCGAAGCAAATCGGACCGGAGGGGTCGAAACGAGCCCTGCCGCCGCGGCGCGGGGCGCGCTGGCGGGAGCCGCTCCAGCAGGTATTCCACCACCGCGTCGCTCCTGCGGCGCGGCGGCGGCGCCGCGCGGCTGCCGCCCGCATCGTGTGCGCGCACGAGGGCCCCTCTCGACGAGGATCCCCCTCGACGAGGAGGGGATCCCTCTCGGAGAGGATTCCCCTCGAGGATCGAGGAGGATCCCTCCCGAGGATCGAGGAGGATCCCTCCCGAGGATGAGGATACCCCTCGAGGATCCCTCTCGACGAGGATCCCTCCCTGCCGCCCGCGGAAGGTTGAGGACCCCCCTCGACGAAGAGGGCCGAGGGCCCCCCCGCGACGGCGGGGGGGCTTGGAGGGGGAGGGGGGCGACCACCTCCTCCTCCCTCCTCCTCCTCCTCCTCCTCCTCCTCCTCCTCCTCTTCCCCCTCCTCCTCCTCCTCCTCCTCCTCCTCCTCCTCCTCTCCTCCTGCATTCCTTTCCATACTCCTTCTCCCTCCTCCTCCTCCTCCTCCTCTCCTTCTCCTTCTCTCCTCCCTCCTCCTCCCCCTCCTTCTTCTCCTCCTCCTCCCTCCTCTCCCTCCTCCTCCTCCTCCTCCTCCTCCTCCTCCTCCTCCTCCTCCTCTCCCTCCTCCTGCATCCGTTTCCTTTTTCCCTGTCGCACCCCGAGACCAGTTTTCAGGACGGGCTGGGCGCTTCGCCTGAGACTTCCTCACCACGTATGACCCTGAGGCTTCACAATTGGCAACAGTTTCACAGATGGAAGGCGGGCCGTTTTCAAAATGTGGCTCTCACCTTAGCGCCGCGAGCACCCGCTTTAAACATGTGCAAGAACTCCACGGATTGAAAGGAAACTGTTTTCAAAATGTGGCTCTCGCCTGAGCGCCGCTCACATTCGCTTTCAACATGTGCAAGGGTTTCACACATTGAGGGAGGTTCCTCTTCAAAATGTGGCTCCCACCTTAGCGCCGCGCACATTCGTTTAACCAATTGCAAGAGTTCCACTGACTCCCATGATCGAAGTACCAGAAATGGTGATTAGGAGGGATTCAGGATAATGGGGGTGCAATAGTTACGTTCGTTCGCGGTGCTGCAATCCCAAGAATGGCGTTCTAGCACGATCCAGGATCGTCAAGACGCAACAGTCAGGTTGATCCGTGGCGCTGGAACCCCGAGAACGATGTTTTGGCAGGCTTCAGGATCTTCCAACGGTTGTCTTCCAACGAGGTAGTTCCCTCAATGGACATGAACCGTTGTGGGGGCCTATGAAGAGGGAGCTTGGAGGAAGGGTTTATTCCAACATCGTTGACGACTCTTGGGCTTACACTGGTCCTCCTCCTCCACCTCCTCCTCCTCCTCCCCCGCCTCCTCCCCCGCGTCCTCCTCCTCCTCCTCCTCCACCTCCTCCTCCTCATCCTTCTCCTCCTCCTCCTCCTCCTCCTCCCCCATCCCTGGCCACGTCACGATTCGCCCCCGCGCCATCCAGAAACGTGCCACCTCCGAGGCACTTTCCCCGACGGCGATGGCCCCAGTTGTGACGTGGGCGCCCCCCCCCTCCCGCCCCCACCCCCGCTCCTGGTCGTGCCGGTCACTCACCAGGGGGTAAAGAGTTGTGTCCTGTGACGTGCAAGCTACAGTCAAAAACCCCAATAAGGACGCGCGGTAAGGACGCAAGACCCTTGGAAGCCGAAGTTGGGATTTTGTTTGGCGGCGGACGACGAAAACCTCAAGAGCAAGGACACATGGTACCCTGAGAAAAGTCGCGCGTCCTTATTAGGGTTTTCGACTGTAGCTGGTGCAATCCAGGTGGGGCAAGTTGTTTGGGGCAGGCTACGCAGAACAGCACGTGGTACAATCGCAGGCGTGCAGTCAGCGCAGTGCAAGATGTGTTGCACGATGCGGGTTGCAGGGCGTGGTGCAATCTGTGCTGCGCGAGCATTCAAGGAAAATCCACGTGTTGCAATGTTGGTCGTGCAATTGTAGGAGGCAACTACTGGGAGGTCTTCGTCGGCACATGTAAGGAGGATTAAGCCCCATTGGGGGGCTGCTACGCCGGATTAGCGGTGAGCGTGCAGATCAAACGGGACTAAGCCGGATGAAGCGGGATTATCAGCCGAATGTCGGACCAGGGCAAGGTCAGACTCTGACCTCCCAGAGGTTGCATCCGAAGCAATGTGCTGCAAACTGTGCGGTGCAATATGTGTGGTTCGGGCTACGTCGTGCAATCCATGATGCGCAGGCTCTGTGTTGCAAGCACGTGTGCTCCTGGAAAAAACAACGCGAGCCGACGTGACCCCACACACAAAGCGCCCCCGGGCCGAGGCTGCGGGAGAACGCCGCCCCTCGCGCGTGGGCACTCCCCAAGGGACAAAAAAAAAGCTCGGAGACGCCGGCCAATCTTTCCCTCGGACGTAAGCGGGGCAGTAGTCAGAAGAAAAAAAACGCCATAAACACAAACTTTTGGAGCTCCGCGCGGATTTCTTGGATCTGCGCCGGGCCCCCCTTCCCGGCGCGCGGAGCGCGCCGGGGGCGGCGCCGGAGGCGCCGCTGGGGGGCCCCAGCGCACATCCAAGAAATCCCCGCGGAGCGCCATAAGTTTACATGTGTATGGCGTTGTCTTCTCCGAATATTGGGACCTGGCTTAGTGACGTGTACCAGGGGACGCCCCCCTCGCTCCGTCCCACTGGCCAGAGCTGCTGCCACCCGAAGAAGCACCCGCGCTACGGCAGGCGTGGATGAATGAGTACTCCAGATTTCGTAATAAAGGGAGGGGGGTCTCATTTCGGGGGGGTCTCTTCCAGGCTATCTTGGAGGGCCTGGGGGGTCTGGGGACGATGCTTTGGAGGGTTCTCCCACGGGGGGGGTCTGAAATGGCTTGTCTTGGAGGGTCCAGACCCCCTCCCTTTTACTACGAAATCTGGAGTATGGTTGTAAGTGCCTATTGTGGCCTCGGGGCCCCATCGCTAATCGGCTCCCCTTACTTACCAAGAGTCCTGGCAATGTCTTAACCCCGTGTGCGAGCACTGCTTGGAAGAGCGGGAGAACGCCCCGCCGTGCTGGTCCAGAGGCACCCGATCGCGGCCGGGTTCACGGCGTCCCGGAACTGCTGGGCGAAGGTCTCCTCCAGCTTCGGCACGGCCACCTCGGCGGGCCCGCAATCATCCTCCCCGACGTTTGCAATACTGCGACGACGACGACGGCGACGACCTTGTCCCTCCTGCCTCATTCATCGCCCGCGTCCTCCATCCCCTCACTCCTCCAAAAATCCCCTCCCTGCCTCCCCCTCTCCTGCCCTGGGTTTCTTCCCTCCCCGCTCTCCCTCGTCGTCGCCTTGCTCCTCGTTTACCTTTTCATACTCTTCATCCCTCCTCATTCTCCTCCCACTCCGCCCCCCTCGTCCTCCTCCTTTCTCCTCCTGCTCCACCGCCACCTCCATCCCCCCCCTCCGCCACCCGCTTCATCCTCTACCGCTACTCCCTGTACATATCCCCAAAGACGCTCTCGTCAGCAATTCGAACCAAATCCAACCGTTGCTACCGCGCAAAGGCAGCGGCATCGGGATACCCGAAGGCGCCTCAATTTCATTTCTAGCCTCGCGCTGCGCGAAGCGCCAAGCAAGAATGACTCGCGCCCTCGCGCCGCCCCCCAGGGGAGGAGAGGAGGGCGAGGAGGACTCGGAGCCGAACCGCGACGCGCAAAGCGAGAAAACTTCGCGCCCTCGAGGGCTGCGAAGCGGGATATTTATCCATATTCACCGCCTGAGAACCGACGGCATGGTGCCCCAGCGGGCGGTGGATATGGATACATGTGAGCCCCTGTTGGCCCAAATCCGCCGATCCAGCGTGTGACCTATAAGGAGCCTCTGCAAAAGCTTCAGCTCTGAGCCTAAGCAAAAGCTTCAGCTCTGCTTGGGGGGGTCGCCGGGGTGGCTCTGCTGGGGAAGGGGGGGGTGGGGATCCCCCATCTGGTGTTTTCTCCATGATCTGCGCATCCGAACCCTCCCCCCCGGCGAGGGGCGGAGGGGGGGGGGCGGGGGGCGGAGCCCCATCTGGCGTTTTCTTACTGACTTGCGCATCCCCAAAATGCCTCGGGGGGTCCCAGGGACTCCCCTCAGATGTAAAGCCGCTGCCGCCCCCAGGACCCTCCCCTCGGAACCCTCCCCGGACCCCCACGGGACCGCTCCAGGCACCCCCCAGAGGAGAAGAGTGAGGACCTTAAGAATCGAGGAGGGAGGAGATCACAGAGCCGCGAAGATCACCGAATCTGGAGCCCCCCAGGTCGGCGGCACTGGCCGGAGGCCATGACGATATATGCATATCCACCGCTTGCCGAGGTCTCTGAAAATCGGTCCTCCAGGCGGCGGTTGTGTATAATTCTCCGCCTCGGAAGGGCGCCCCTGCTTCGTCTCCTCGTCCTCCTCTTCGTCCTCGTCCTCGTCCTCGTCCTCCTCCTCCTCCTCCTCCTCCTCCTCCTCCTCCTCCTGCTCCTGCTCCTCCTCCTCCTCCTCTCCTTCCTCCTCCTCCTCTTCCTCCTCCTCCTCCTCATCCTCCGTCTCCTCCTCCCCCTTGGGGGCTGGCAGTTCCACCCGCTGCAAGGCAGCCCCCAGGCGCCTTGGACATCGCCTCCCGCAGGCCCGGGTCCTTCAGGCCGAGCGCCGCCGCGGCGTTCGCGACCTCCACTGGACCAAGACGGCCATGAGCAGCGCAGCAGCCACAACGACCACGACGGCCACGAGAACGACAACGACATCGCCCACGACGACAACGAGATTAACAACGACCACGGTGACGATGATGACGACGACGACGACAACGACGCCGACGCCGACTCCGACGACGACAACGACGACAGCCGCCCCACGACCACGACCACGACGAGGCGGGCAACGCCGACACGACCACGACCACGAAGCCTGCGGATTGAGGGTGGGGGATGATATAGTGACAAGGGGTCATCACATGAACAGTCATCAGCATCACCACTGTCACGATCATCAGTATCAGCATCATCATCAGCAGTATCATCATCAGCAGCATCAGCATCAACATCAGCATCCTCATCATCAGCAACACCACCATCATCAGCACCAGCATCATCATAACAAATACCAGCATCATCATCATCATCATCATCATCATCATCATCATCAGCAGCAGCAGCATCATCATCATCATCATCATCATCATCCTCATCCTCATCCTCATCATCCTCATCCTCATCCTCATCCTCCTCCTCCTCCTCATCATCATCATCATCATCATCATCAAGATCATCATCATCATCATCATGATCATCATCATCATCATCATCATCATCATCATCATCATCATCATCATCATCCAGATCATCGCCAGCATCGTCATCAACAGCAGCATCGCCATCATCCGCATCGGCAACGTCCCCGTAACTGGCATCGCCACAACCACCAACATCATCATGATCACGATCAGCGTCCTCATCGCAACCAGCATCAGTATTAGCATGTGCAGTACCTTCGACGTCGTCATCAGCATCACCACCCTCAATGAACATGCTCGTCGCAGGACGCTGCTCGTGATGCCGAACGGATGCGGCACAAACTCTTCCTCCTCGTCCTCCTCATCCTGCTCGACCTCATCCTCAGACGCACCATCCTCCCTCGTCCTCCTGGAGCGTTTCCCCTGGGGCCGTAGGCGAGACGAGGGAGGAGGAGGAGGAGAAGGAGGAGGAGGAGGAAGAGAGGAGGAGGAGGAGGAGGAGGAGGAGGAGGAGCAGAAGGAAGAGAAGGATGAGGAGGAGGAGGAGGCGGAGGAGGAGGACGGGTCGCCTAAGCCCTTCGGAGAAAACCTCCACCTCGTCCTCCTTTGCGTGGCCAATGTTATACACCACCACCGCACGTAACAGTAATTTATCGAAAAAAGGGTTTGGGTCAAGGTCATGCCAGACGACGCTGCGACGACACGGCGAAAAGGAGCGCGGCGCAGCTCGCAGGCGCCGTGGCATGGGGAGGTCCTGGAGCAGAAACAGCACATCTTGGTGGTGGTGTGTAAGCATCGCTCCTCTTGGTAAGCAAAAGCTGTATACGCAACCATCGCGCGTGCTTTAATGAATCCTGTGCCGGTCCTGCAGAGAGAGGGGGCAGCCCGGTTGCCGTTGGCGGCGGGAGGGGGACTGCGGGCCTAGGGGGGAAACAAACCTACCTCGGTTTTGACCACCCTCGCTTCAAAAAGATACCAAACGATGCCAAACTACGGCCTGTACTGGTCAGGCCGCTTGACGAGGCGGCGCGTGGTATGACTTGGTTTTGCCTGGAAGCGAAAGCGGGGGAGGTAATTCACGCTCTGCGGGCCTGCTCACCAGAGCAAAACGGCACCCGATCGTAGCGCTGGTGACTCTCGATCTTGGCGGTGGTCGTCAGACACTGCGCTCGGATCCCTGGCCCTTCCCCTGCCACCCTAGACTTATGTCGGGCCTGTCCCCCTACAGGGGGATTTCCAACGAAAAAAAAAATACCCCAAAAAACAAAAAATGATCCAAACATAGTCGGGGAATTATGTGTTTAGTGTTTCTTAACATGTTTGGGGCATCTTTGGGGTATTTCTTATTCCCAACCCTCCTTGGTTGGGTATTCGTTTTTCCCAACCCTCCTTGGTTGGGTATTCGTTTTGAATAGAGCAGTGTGGTCGCGTCCTTCGTCCTCCCGCCTCCCGCTTCTTTCCTGCCTCTTTCTGTCTTGCCTGCGGGGGGCTGCGATCTGTGAAACTGTCGCCACTTTCGAGGCCTGCTGGGGGGTCCTGCATAGAGGGTAATCGCGGCGGATTCAAATTAGACCTGGGGGGCTGCGATCTGTGAAACTGTCGCCACTTTCGAGGCCTGCTGGGGGGTCCTGCATAGAGGGTAATCGCGGCGGATTCAAATTAGACCTCGCCATCCCTGGGGGGCTGCGATCTGTGAAACTGTCGCCACTTTCGAGGCCTGCTGGGGGGTCCTGCATAGAGGGTAATCGCGGCGGATTCAAATTAGACCTCGCCATCCCTGGGGGGCTGCGATCTGTGAAACTGTCGCCACTTTCGAGGCCTGCTGGGGGGTCCTGCATAGAGGGTAATCGCGGCGGATTCAAATTAGACCTCGCCATCCCTGGGGGGCTGCGATCTGTGAAACTGTCGCCACTTTCGAGGCCTGCTGGGGAGCCCAGCGCAGTGGGTACTCACCGCGGACTCAAATTAGACCTCGCCATCCCTGGGGGGCTGCGATCTGTGAAACTGTCGCCACTTTCGAGGCCTGCTGGGGGGCCCAGCACAGTGGGTACTCACCGCGGACTCAAATTAGACCTCGCCATCCCTGGGGGGCTGCGATCTGTGAAACTGTCGCCACTTTCGAGGCCTGCTGGGGGGCCCAGCACAGTGAGGGCGACGCGCAGATTCAAATTAGACCTCGCCATCCCTGGGGGGCTGCGATCTGTGAAACTGTCGCCACTTTCGAGGCCTGCTGGGGGGCCCAGCACAGTGGGTACTCACCGCGGACTCAAATTAGACCTCGCCATCCCTGGGGGGCTGCGATCTGTGAAACTGCCGCCACTTTCGAGGCCTGCTGGGGGCCCAGCGCAGTGGGTACTCACCGCGGATCAAATTAGACCTCGCCATCCCTGGGGGGCTGCGATCTGTGAAACTGTCGCCACTTTCGAGGCCTGCTGGGGGGCCCAGCACAGTGGGTACTCACCGCGGACTCAAATTAGACCTCGCCATCCCTGGGGGGCTGCGATCTGTGAAACTGTCGCCACTTTCGAGGCCTGCTGGGGGGCCCAGCACAGTGGGTACTCACCGCGGACTCAAATTAGACCTCGCCATCCCTGGGGGGCTGCGATCTGTGAAACTGTCGCCACTTTCGAGGCCTGCTGGGGGGCCCAGCACAGTGGGTACCCACCGCGGACTCAAATTAGACCTCGCCATCCCTGGGGGGCTGCGATCTGTGAAACTGTCGCCACTTTCGAGGCCTGCTGGGGGGCCCAGCACAGTGGGTACTCCGCGGATTCAAATTAGACCTCGCCATCCTTGGGGGGGCTGCGATCTGTGAATCTGTCGCCACTTTCGAGGCCTGCTGGGGGGCCCAGCACAGTGGGTACCACTGCGGATCAAATGAGACCTCGCCATCCATGGGGGGTCGCCACTTTCGAGGCCTGCTGGGGGGCCCAGCACAGTGGGCACCCACCGCGGATTCAAATTAGACCTCGCCATCCCTGGGGGGCTGCGATCTGTGAAACTGTCGCCACTTTCGAGGCCTGCTGGGGGGCCCAGCACAGTGACGGCCACGCGCGGATTCAAATTAGACCTCGCCATCCCTTGGGGGCTGCGATCTGTGAAACTGTCGCCACTTTCGAGGCCTGCTGGGGGGCCCAGCACAGTGACGCCACCGCAGATTCAAATTAGACCTCGCCATCCCTGGGGGGGCTGCGATCTGTGAAACTGTCGCCACTTTCGAGGCCTGCTGGGGGGCCCAGCACAGTGACGCCACACGCAGATTCAAGTTAGACCTCGCCATCCCTGGGGGGCTGCGATCTGTGAAACTGTCGCCACTTTCGAGGCCTGCTGGGGGGCCCAGCACAGTGTCGCCACGCGCGGACCCAAATTAGACCTCGCCATCCCTGGGGGGCTGCGATCTGAGATCCCCGCCTTCGAAGTGGCTAGGGTTGCTCAGGGATTGTAACTAATCAGCTTTATCTAGTCCTTGTCCTGTAGCCAGTGTCCTGCGAGTGTCCCGAATTCCGTCTGCAGACATATGTAACCCTCGTTCCGTCATCGCCCCCTTTATAAAGTGTCCTAAACTATTTGCGCCCCGCGTTTGCGCAGGGGTTGGGTACGTCGCCAGGGTATGAATAGCGGTGGTCGCGTCCTTCCTCCTCCCGCCTCCCGCCTCTTTCCTGCCTCTTTCTGTCTTGCCTGCGGGGGGCTGCGATCTGTGAAACTGTCGCCACTTTCGAGGCCTGCTGGGGGGTCCTGCATAGAGGGTAATCGCGGCGGATTCAAATTAGACCTCGCCATCCCTGGGGGGCTGCGATCTGTGAAACTGTCGCCACTTTCGAGGCCTGCTGGGGGGTCCTGCATAGAGGGTAATCGCGGCGGATTCAAATTAGACCTCGCCATCCCTGGGGGGCTGCGATCTGTGAAACTGTCGCCACTTTCGAGGCCTGCTGGGGGGTCCTGCATAGAGGGTAATCCGGCGGATTCAAATTAGACCTCGCCATCCCTGGGGGGCTGCGATCTGTGAAACTGTCGCCACTTTCGAGGCCTGCTGGGGGGTCCTGCACAGTGGCCAATCGCGGCGATTCAAATTAGACCTCGCCATCCCTGGGGGGCTGCGATCTGTGAAACTGTCGCCACTTTCGAGGCCTGCTGGGGGGCCCAGCACAGTGACGCCACGGGCAGATTCAAATTAGACCTCGCCATCCCTGGGGGGCTGCGATCTGTGAAACTGTCGCCATTTTCGAGGCCTGCTGGGGGGCCCAGCACAGTAGGGCCACGGGCAGATTCAAATTAGACCTCGCCATCCCTGGGGGGCTGCGATCTGTGAAACTGTCGCCATTCAAATGACCTCGGGGGGTGCGATCTGCGAAACTGCGCCAGAGGCCTGCTGGGGGGCCCAGCACAGTGAGGTCCACGGGCAGATTCAAATTAAACCTCGCCGTCCCTGGGGGGCTGCGATCTGCGAAACTGCCTCCATTTTCGAGGCCTGCTGGGGGCCCCAGCACAGTGAGGGTAATCGCCGCGGATTCAAATTAGACCTCGCCATCCCTGGGGGGCTGCGATCTGCGAAACTGTCGCCATTTTCGAGGCCTGCTGGGGGGCCCAGCACAGTGAGGGCAATCGCGCGGATTCAAATTAGACCTCGCCATCCCTGGGGGGCTGCGATCTGCGAAACTGTCGCCATTTTCGAGCCTGCTGGGGGGCCCAGCACAGTGAGGGCCACGGCGGATTCAAATTAGACCTCGCCATCCCTGGGGGGCTGCGATCTGCGAAACTGCGCCATTTTCGAGGCCTGCTGGGGGGCCCAGCACAGTGAGGGCCACGGGCAGATTCAAATGAGACCTCGCCATCCCTGCGGGGCTGCGATCTGTGAACCTGTCGCCACTTTCGAGGCCTGCTGTGATCCCCGTTTTCGAAGTGGCTAGGAGTGCTCAGGAATTGTAAATCATCAGCTTTATCAAGCCCTTTTCCTGTAGCCAGTGTCCTTGCGAGTCTCCCGAATTCCGCTTGCAGACATATGTAACCCTCGCTCCGTCATCGCCCCCTTATAAGGCATCCTAAACTATTTGCGCCCCGCTTTTGCGCAGGGGTTGGGTACGTCGCCAGGATAATTTTTCATCGAAAATCCCCCTGTAGGGGGACCCGCCTCCCGCCTCTTTCCCCTGCCTCTTTCTGTCTTGCCTGCGGGGGGCTGTGAAACTGTCGCCATTTCGAGGCCTGCTGGGGGGTCCAGCATAGAGGGTAACCGCGGCGGTCCAAATTAGACCTCGCCATCCTGGGGGGCTGCGATCTGTGAACTGTCGCCACTTTCGAGGCCTGCTGGGGGTCCTGCATAGAGGGTAACGCGGCGGATTCAAATTAGACCTCGCCATCCCTGGGGGCTGCGATCTGTGAAACTGTCGCCACTTTCGAGGCCTGCTGGGGGGTCCTGCATAAGGGTGACGCGCGCGGATATCAAAAAACCTCGCCATCCCTGGGGGGGGGACCTGTGAAACTGTCGCCACTTTCGAGGCCTGCTGGGGGGTCCTGCATAGAGGGTAATCGCAGCGGATTCAAATTAGACCTCGCCATCCCTGGGGGGCTGCGATCTGTGAAACTGTCGCCACTTTCGAGGCCTGCTGGGGGGTCCTGCATAGAGGGAATCGCGGCGGATTCAAATTAGACCTCGCCATCCCTGGGGGGCTGCGATCTGTGAAACTGTCGCCACTTTCGAGGCCTGCTGGGGGGTCCAGCATAGAGGGTAATCGCGGCAGATTCAAATTAGACCTCGCCATCCCTGGGGGGCTGCGATCTGTGAAACTGTCGCCACTGTCGAGGCCTGGGGGGGGCCCGGGGGGCCTGCATAGAGGGTAATCACGGCAGATTCAAATTAGACCTCGCCATCCCTGGGGGGCTGCGATCTGCGAAACTGTCGCCACTTTCGAAGCCTGCTGGGGTCCTGCACAGAGGGTAATCGCGGCAGCTTCAAATTAGACCTCGCCATCTCTGGGGGTGCTGCGATCTGTGAAACTGTCGCCACTTTCGAGGCCTGCTGGGGGGCCTAGCACAGTGGGTAATCGCCGCAGATTCAAATTAGACCTCGCCATCTCTGGGGGAGGGGGGGGGGGGCTGCGATCTGTGAAACTGTCGCCATTTTCGAGGCCTGCTGGGGGGTCCAGCATAGAGGGTAATCGCGGCAGATCCAAATTAGACCTCGCCCTCCTTGGGGGGCTGCGATCTGTGAAACTATCGCCACGTTTAGGCCTGCTGGGGGGTCAGCACAGTGGGTAACGCGCAGATTCAAATTAGACCTCGCCATCCCTGGGGGGCTGCGATCTGTGAAACTGTCGCCACTTTCGAGGCCTGCTGGGGGGTCCTGCATAGAGGGTAACCGCGGCAGATTCAAATTAGACCTCGCCATCCCTGGGGGGCTGCGATCTGTGAAACTGTCGCCACTTTCGAGGCCTGCTGGGGGGCCTGCATAGAGGGTAACCGCGGCAGATTCAAATTAGACCTCGCCATCCCTGGGGGGCTGCGATCTGTGAAACTGTCGCCACTTTCGAGGCCTGCTGGGGGGTCCTGCATAGAGGGTAATCGCGGCAGATTCGAATTAGACCTCGCCATCCCTGGGGGGCTGCGATCTGTGAAACTGTCGCCAGTTTCGAGGCCTGCTGGGGGGTCCAGCATAGAGGGCAATCGCGGCAGATCCAAATTAGACCTCGCCCTCCCAGGGGGGCTGCGATCTGTGAAACTGTCGCCACTTTCGAGGCCAGCCCTCTGGGGGGCCCAGCACAGTGGGTAATCGCGGCAGATTCAAATTAAACCTCGCCATCCCTGGGGGGATGCGATCTGCGAAACTGTCGCATTTTCGAGGCCTGCTGGGGGGCCCAGCACAATGAGGGCCACGCGCAGATTCAAATTAGACCTCGCCATCCCTGGGGGGCTGCGATCTGCGAAACTGTCGCCATTTTCGAGGCTGCTGGGGGGCCCAGCACAGTGAGGGCCACGCGCGGATTCAAATTAGACCTCGCCATCCCTGGGGGGCTGCGATCTGCGAAACTGTCGCCATTTTCGAGGCCTGCTGGGGGGCCCAGCACAGTGAGGGCCACGCGCGGATTCAAATTAGACCTCGCCATCCCTGGGGGGCTGCGATCTGCGAAACTGTCGCCATTTTCGAGGCCTGCTGGGGGGCCCAGCACAGTGAGGGCCACGCGCGGATTCAAATTAGACCTCGCCATCCCTGGGGGGCTGCGATCTGCGAAACTGTCGCCATTTTCGAGGCCTGCTGGGGGGCCCAGCACAGTGAGGGCCACGCGCGGATTCAAATTAGACCTCGCCATCCCTGGGGGGCTGCGATCTGCGAAACTGTCGCCATTTTCGAGGCCTGCTGGGGGGCCCAGCACAGTGAGGGCCACGCGCGGATTCAAATTAGACCTCGCCATCCCTGGGGGGCTGCGATCTGCGAAACTGTCGCCATTTTCGAGGCCTGCTGGGGGGCCCAGCACAGTGAGGGCCACGCGCGGATTCAAATTAGACCTCGCCATCCCTGGGGGGCTGCGATCTGCGAAACTGTCGCCATTTTCGAGGCCTGCTGGGGGGCCCAGCACAGTGAGGGCCACGCGCGGATTCAAATTAGACCTCGCCATCCCTGGGGGGCTGCGATCTGCGAAAGTGTCGCCATTTTCGAGGCCTGCTGTGATCCCCGTTTTCGAAGTGGCTAGGAGTGCTCAGGAATTGTAAATCATCAGCTTTATCAAGCCCTTTTCCTGTAGCCAGTGTCCTGCGAGTCTCCCGAATTCCGTCTGCAGACATATGCAACCCTCTCTCCGTCATCGCCCCCTTTATAAAGTATCCTAAACTATTTGCGCCCCGCTTTTGCGCAGGGGTTGGGTACGTCGCCAGGGTAATTTCTTATTTTTCATCGAAAATCCCCATGTAGGGGGACAGGCCCGACTTAACCCCAGACACGGCCAGCCAGGAGCCTTGATGAAGTCGGAGGGGCGGAGGGCGTCCACCACGTCCAGCGAGTGCCGGGCAGCAGCCTCGACGAGCGTGCGGTCCTTCCACTTCACCTGCGGGCGCGGCGGGGGACCAGGGCCGGGAGACCCGGGAAAAGGTGCGCTCCTCCTCCTCCGCCAGCTCTGCGAGCACAGCCGAGAAGGCCAAGAGGGTCTCGTCCCCGCTTTCATACGTCCCAGTCGACCTAGTCGCCAAATCCGAAGCTCAAGAGCCCCTCCTCCTCCTCCTCCTACCTCATCCTGCTCCTCCTCCTCCTTCTCCTCCTCCTCCTCCCGACGTCCGCCTCCCTGATCGAGAGCGTCTCGCAGGCTCCAACCCTCCGCGCAGGCGCCGAATGGCGAGCACCTCCCCCCCATCCTCGGAATGGTAATCGATGAGCCCCGGGCCATCCGCGAGGATCCGCGAGCGGTGGCTCGGGCAGCTCTCGGACGGGTCTGTGGTTACTACAGGCCTCGCAAATGGGATCTGAGCAGATGCGGTCGGAGGATCACACCGCATCGCGAGATGCAGCGGCGATGCATCGGCGCTGCAATCGGTTGCGCATCGGCGACGCCCGCGGTGCACTGGCGACGCCGGCTCGGAAGAAATATGTGGACGCCCGAAATGGGTACCGAAAAAATGGGGACAATGCCCAGCAACAAATGTTGTCCCAAACCAACAGCGGCCGCTGTTGGGCAGGCGGCCTTCTGTCTCAAGTGTCGGGTCGGGCGAAAGGGGGGCGCCGGGAGGCGCCTGGAGGCGCCGATGTATCGAGGAATGGGCCCGGCGGCGGGGCCGAAACCAGCTGCATGCAGCAGATTTCGTAACCCCCCCTTCCCCAATCCCCCCCTTTCGCCGACCCGGAAGTGGACACAGGCCGCGGCGGCGCGGACAGCGAATTCTGTTCAAAATGAACTGGAACTGCGGTTGGGCTTTGTTCGGAAGCGGCCAAGAGGGGGGTGTCCAAGAGGGGGGGTGCAAATCATGACCGGCGGCACGTGCGCGGCCCAGCGGGGGGGCCAGGGACGTAGAATGAAATAAGAAGAGGCGCCATGAAATCTGGGGAAATATCATGGCCCCCGCCATGATATCCACCCCCCCCCCGTCATCACCCCCCTCTTTTCCGCCCCGATTTGTACCTATCCTCTCCGCACCCATGTTGCTCGCGCAGAAACGGGGGCTCCGCGCCGCGCCGCACGGGCGGCGCACCGGCGCTGGGGCGCGAGCCTCTGGCCCCACAACCAAATCTGACTGTCTCCGGGGGGCCGAGGGCCACGGCGGGCCCGGCCGGCGCCCGCGGGTCGGCGGCGCGCCAAGGGGGGGAAGCGGGAAGGGGCGGGACTGCTCAGAAGGCTCGGGAGTTCCCCCAGCCTCCCGAAAAGTTGCCCCCGCACAAGGCACTTCTCGGAAGGCGCGAGGGCTTCTGAGCAGTCCCGCCGTCCTCTGGGAAGGCCTTCTCCTTCTCCTCTCCCCCCCTCGCTCGCCGCCGACCAAACGAGAGCTCGCGGCCCAACGTGGGGAGGTGACGCGTCGAGCCTGGGAGCACCGCCCGCCCCCCAGGGGGAGGGGCGGCCAGCCCTCTTCCAGGAGGCGCCTCCGAGGGCCGGGCGCCCGACCTCGCAGCACAGGCTGCTGTCCCGCAGGACGCCGGCAGGGATCGACCTAAACGATCCTCCTCCTCCTCCTCCTCCTCCTCCTGCTCCTCCTCCTCCTCCTCCTCCTCCTCCTCCTCCTTCTGCGCCTCCTGCGCCTCCTCCATGCCGCCTCCTGATCTGCAGCGCGAGAGCGAGCGAGCAGTGACGGCCTAGAGCAGCGCAGGCGCGGCCAGCACCGAGAGGGCCTCTCAAGATCCGTGTGCAAGTACTGTCCGATCGGTTCTGCTCCTGGCGTGGCAAAGCCCTGGCGCGGTCGGCAGCATGTTCTGGTCTACTCGTTGCACGGCTACGCTTATGTCGGGCGTGTCCCCCTACAGGGGGATTTTCAACGACAAAATAAAAGATACCCCAAAAATGCCCCAAAAAGGTCAGAAAAAACTCAAAAAATAGTCCCCTTACTATTTTTGAATATTGTTGGACTATTTTTTGGGGGGTATTTTTGATCGAAAATCCCCCTGTAGGGGGACACGCCCGACCTAAGGCTACGCAGGGGAACGACCCCCTTAAGGACAAAAACAGGCGAAGGGGCCCAATCCACAGGAGGCCAACGGTGGCGCCCTCCACAGGGCGCCATCCGCGTGAGGGAATACGCCGAGGTGCGCGCGGCAGCGCCGCGCGAGCACCTCCCTTGAGGCCACAGGTGAAGCTCTCTACGAGGAGCACGGCCCGCGCGAGGGTGTGCGCAGGCACGCCATTCTCCGGACGAGATCCCGAAGTCTCCGGGCTGGCGCCTGAAATGTCTGGGCTGGCGTCTGCAACTTCTGTGCTGGCAACTGCGACTTACGGGCTGGTCGAATTCCTGGGTTCGCCGTTTTGTACAGTCATCGGCCTGACCTAAGGAACGATAAATAAGGAACGAAACCATTCTTCCCAAGGAGTAACGCATAAGGAACGATGAATAGCAAATAACGCATAAGGAACGATCAATAACGCATGCAAGCCTGAGGAACGTCCGAACCCCTTCTGAAAAATACAAATTCCTGATTTGGGTATCCCAATACCGTGTGGTGACAGACCGTGCGGTGACAGAGCGTACGGTGACAACGGTTCGTAACCGCACGGTCTTGGGACCCTGGAGGCCCCAGTCGCCCGAGACGTCCTCGAAGAGCGACCCAAGTCCCAAAACCGTGCGGTGACCCCGAATCCCCACCGACTCACCACACGGTGTGGTCACCACACCGTGTGGGGGCCCCGGACTTCTTCAAGCCGCTCACTGCATCCCCGGTGTGCGGCCCGCCCTCAGGCCGCCTGAGGCCCCGCCCGCCTGTGCCCTTTCTTCCCAACTAGAGCTGTGCGTAGCCCGCCTAGCTTTTACCGGAAGAGGTTCGCTCCCGCCCCGCTGACCAAAAATGTATCCCCGGTGTGGCCCCACATGAGGAACGAATAATAACACATGACGCACAAGGAACGATAAATAATGCATGCAGGCCCGAGGAACGGCCGAGCCCCTTTTGAAAAGAGCGCGTTCCTGAAGTCAGGCCGCTCGCCGTGTCCCCAGGGCGGGGCCCCCGAAGCTGCTCATGGCTCGCCCTGGCAGGCCTCCGGGTGCGCCCCGAAGACCTTACGCTTCCGACCTCTCCTCCTCATCCTGCTCCTCCTCCTCCTCAGATTCAAGACATCTCGGGAGGGAGCGCCCAGCCTTCCTCGAGCCCCACTTCAGGACACCTCTTGGTCCGCGCGGGGGCTCCTCTTCAGGACAGCATCGCGACGACCAAAACGATGAAACCAGAGAAAAACCCAGAGGAAAACCCACTACAGTTACAATAACTGAGCAAGTACACCAATCAGTGGATGGTTTGATCGATCGGGAGATCGACTGGGAACCCGGGAACCCGAACCCCCCGAAATCGGCAGAACCAATGACCAAGAATCCGGGAACCCCGCACCGGGAACCCGGGAACCCAGCCGCGGCTACCAACACCGGCGGGAAACTTTCGTCGTGATATACCTCGGGGCCGTCGTGGAAGCACCTCGAAGCGTTCGGGGCCATCCCGGGGCCGTCTTGGAGGCGCGTGGGCGTCCTCCTGCAGGGATATGGGAAGCATGCCGAGGCTCAGAGAGCACGACCAGAGCTCTCAAACTTGTTCCAGGTCGGGCATGCCCCCCTCACTACAGGAGGGTTTTGGGCGACAACTCCCAAATACCCCAAACATGCCCAACAATGCGAAAAAACATAATCAACATAATCGTCCCTGGACTATTGTTTGACCATTTTTGAGTACTCCTCCTGTAGAGGGACAAGCCCGACTTAAGACTTGGTGGTCCCCAAACGTGGTGGTGAGAACACCCGGTGGTGAGTTTTGGGCGATTTGGGGTATTGGTTTTCGAGCGCTGGCTGGCCCAGGAAACGCAAAACCTCGTGGCGATCGCGTGTCCCCAAACCCGGTGGTGACCCAGAATTATTTTTGGGGGGAATCGGGGTCACCACCGGGTGTCTCACCACCTGGTTTGGAGACCACCAAAAGACGCGTTCTTGTTCTGACTTTCGCTCCGGGGGTGGATCTAAGCCGTGCCAGCCCCGTCGGCCAGCAGCTGGCCCCCCTGGCCCCGCCAGGGGGCGCTGCCGATGCCGCCGCGGTTCCGCCGCGCCCAGCCCGGGAGAGAGGGGAGGAGGAGGAGAGAGGGGAGGAGGAGGAGGAGGAGGAGGAGGAGGAGGAGGAGGAGGAGGAGGAGGAGGAGGAGGAGGAGGAGGAGGAGAAGGAGGACGAGGGGGAGGAGGAGGAGGAGAAGGAGGAGGAGGAGGAGGAGGAGGAGGAGGAGGAGGAGGAGGAGGATCAGGATCAGGATCAGGCCCGTGGGTTTTCGTCTGCTGCTTCCTATCGCCTGCCAAGCTGACTGCCTAGCTGGGCGGAGAAGGAGGAACTCTGGGGGGCGAAACAAATGCCGCCAACCTTCCAGCGCGGCCCGTGGTTCTCGACGGACGCCGCGCCGCCCCTGCGGGCACCCCCGAATTCAGTGCGCGGCCTGACGAGGGGCCCACTGGTGGGGACAAATGCACACTGCTACCGACCCTTGCCCTTTCTTTTGCTCTTCACCTTCCTACCGTTCCCTTTGCGCATACCTTGCCTCTAGATGGTGGGGGGTCGCTATCTCGGGGTTGTAGGCTGATGGGGCTGGGGGGGGGGGCTCGGGTCCGGAAAAACATCTGCACCAATACTGCCTCTCGCGATCAGCTCGGCTAGCCTCGCGCCCCCTCGCCACTGCTGCATATTTCCTACAAAACTGGGCCGAGGTTTGTCCGCTCTCACTCTCATGCTCCTCTGCTCACTACCCACTACTCCTTCATCTCAGCCAGCAACCTGCTCGCATCTCTCTCCGATGGCCCGCGGGGGGCGGCTCCGATCTTCCTCTCCGCCTCGAGCCCTGCGAGCACGCCCTCGATGTGCTTCAGCAGCGCTACACCGAAGGGGCAGGCGGTG